AAGAAGTGCGACAAGGGCGGCGGATCTGGCGGCGGAAGTCAGTGTTCGGCGGGCGAAACTCCTTGCGGTACGGGATGTATGCCGGCTGGTCAAGTCTGCTGCAATACCTACTACTGCGACGCCGGAGAGACGTGTGCTGGAAATAAGAAGTGCAATAAGGGTAGCAGCGGCGGCGGTGGAGGAGGAGGAGGAGGAAGTCAGTGTGCGGCCGGCCAGACACCCTGCGGCACCGGATGTATGCCAGCCGAACAAGTCTGCTGCGAAACATACTTCTGCAATGCAGGCCTCACTTGTGTCGGGGACAAGAAGTGTCGGAACTCCAACGGTGGAGGCGGCGGCGGCGGAGGTGGTGGTGATGATACAAGCGCGACATCTAGTCTACTCGCGACGATACCTGGGGGTGAAGCGGGGACTACGTCTCTGAGAGACTTCCCACAGCCCACGCAAACACTTGGTGCCGGCGATGATGGGCCGACATCATCGTCGTCAAGATCTTCGACGTCAACAACAAGGACAACGACGAGTAGCGCAGCGCCGACGTCAACATCGGCCCAAGGTGCCGCGTTTTTGGGAAAGAATCTCGACGGCTCCGTCTTGGTCGCAGGCCTCCTCGTTGCAGCGCCCCTGGTTATCTGAAGATGATCATGAATGGTACATATTCGAATGGCGAATGAGTAAAAGAGTAACACAAGCGTGATTGAACATCATAGGGATCAGTCTATAATTTGAATAATATTCCCTTAATCATGTATCGCTCCCATACGCCTAGGAAATCCCGGTAAACGCCAAACTTTTTCGAGCCCATGTTGATGCTAGAAATGTCAAGGCGCCATGTGTAGTGCTACCCAAGCAATGCTGCCTACGCCCGTAAATGTGTCATGATAGTCCTACAGATACCTGGGCCTCATCCACTCAAGATTACGAATACTCAGATTGAGCCCGTTGCTGGCCCACCACTTCCGCACCGGCTCTTGATCGCCGATACTGTCTTCCAAGGCCTCTTCGATATCGCAGGTTCGGTATTCGACGCGGTGTTTCCGCCCTTCCATTCCTTCAAGCTCGCCATATGCGAACTTGCGCCACCACTCCAGAACCCCAATGTGCTGATGGATTGTAGGTTGAACGAGGACCTCGCCGTCGAAAGCGAGCTTGTCGTCGCCCTTTAGCTTCCTCCAAAGTTCGAGAACGCCGACCTGACCCCATCGTGAAGCAATTTTTGCTACGCCGTCTCCATTGGCAACAGGAATGCCAGAGGCCACCCACCAACGTATGACGTCAACCTGGCCGTGCTGGGCGGCCCACAACAGCGACTTCCCAGGTCTAAGCACAATATTCTCGTCCTGGGCAGCTGCATCACGCCACCATTCAAGCACGAGAAGATGACCTTTTCCACTGGCCTGCTCGAGAGCAGCCTCGGTAAAGCGGAGCGGTAAGCCGGAGCGCCGCCACCACCAGTCCAGGCTCTGTATATGGCCGTTTTTGGACGCCCCGTCAAGGGCTTCGGCATCGTAGCACTGTTGGTGGCGACCACGAAAATATCGGCTCTCCTTCCAATAATCAAGGACGTCGGAGCGTCCAAAGTATGCGGAAGCCTTGGTCGCGAGGACCTTGCCGTCGAAAGCCTGGAAGAGATCAGGGCGGTTGGCCTCCATCCAGGTAAGCACTTCAATCAGCGAGAAGCGGATAAGAAGCTTAATGACGAGTGCTGGGAGTTCGTGGAAGGTAGGCGGCGACTGAAGCAGCTTTTTGCAAATAGAGGTGGAGTCGCAAGTAAGTACGAGCCACTCCAATTCGTGCTCGTAGACCTTCACCGGATCGTTGGGGTTCCTGGGTTGTAGCTTCCAAGGATATGGCATGGGCAGGTTGGTGAAAATCCCTAACGCCTGCGCCAACTCCCAGTCGTCGGCAAAGTCGAGAATAATAGTCCAGATCTCCGGCGGCAAATTGGAGTATACTCGCGGATCACCCGAAGCGAGGTAACCGAGATGGGTGACGACGTCCACATCCCGACCCAGGCCGAGCAAGTCGGCTTGGTTCTTGATGATGCCTAACACGTCGTTGAAGCCGTTCCAATTGACGATTCGCTTCGGGTGTTTGTGGGCGCTGTCGTAGTGCCAGAGTATAGGTGGCATAGCTCGCACCCAAGGCCATTTGCTATTGATTTTGTTTAACTGCCTTTTCGTTACCGGGTTCTCCCACATGTGCGTGCTCATCCCAGGGACGAGAAGCACCTTTTTCGCTGTGTCCCAGCCGCGAAGCACCTCAAGAAGGAAAGTATCCGCGATTCCCACCATCATCTTGGCAATGTTGTCGGCATCGATCGGGGCGAGAACCAGGAGATCAGCCCACTCGACCAGCTCGAATGCCTGCTGGCGGTAGAACTCAATATCGTCAACGTCTGCTTCGGAGCCGGCACGCGACGGACCTAGCGGCAGTGTCATGGATCGGTTCTGCATAGTGATGACAGTCTGGCTTAAGCGGGGCACGGCGTCGTCGACGATGGCGCGCATCTCAATGGCCGAACTCTTGGAGAGACGGACGACGAGAGCCTGTGCCCATGATATGTCGCGGGGCCCATTAGCGGCCACTAGAAGGTGAAGCTTTCGGTCGCGCGGCTTGAAATGAAGTGACGAGGAGGAGGATGCGCTCCTCGTTATGCGGAGCGGCAAGGGGTCGGGGGGATCCATCGTGTCATGCTTTAGGGGTGCTTGGGATGGGTCGTGGTGATCGAGGAGGTTTCGTCGACCGTCAGGCTATTGGCTTCGAGTCGATAGACGGCAGCTAAGAATCGAGAGGAAACGAACGCAGTCGTGGATATCGAATGTCGTGTCTCACCACTCTCTAGCGTGGCTGTGATCGGAGGCGGGTGTCGAGATGATAAGGGCCCAAGACGGACTTTGGGCGCGAGTCGAGTTGGCAAGGAGTAGGTATTTGTCGCGAGTCGGTGAAGAAGGTCAAAAGTCGTCGATCGGCGGTCGTAGATAGCAGAGCTGCTGCCAAATTTCGGTGACACGAGTGATGTAGTGGGTTTGTGATTTATCGGCGGTTGGTGGTGTGTTGTCCGTGACAGCGTTTGCGGTGTGTGCAACGTCGCGTTGGGTAGGTCTGCAGTAGTGGTGGTCCAGCAAATTATCCGGGGTCCGTACGGCCACACAGGAGATGATGAAGCAGGCCAGGCGGGATGGGTGTGTAGCGTGTGCAGGTAGGTATCCGATCCGCAGAGCAGCGAGTGGTAGCGTGAGGTCGCTCGCAAGTCAGATCAGCGAATAATAGGCTGAAGTCTTGGAGAGAGTCGTGGCTGGCGGGCTGGAAGAATTGGACATGGATAGGTCGCAATATGTGGCATCACCATGACATGGGTGCGAATTCCTTAATTCCACTCTCGGGACGAGGTGCATGCGGTGACCGACCGACCGAGTGACGAGGGGAAGAGGGGGGAACGCAGTTGGGTGGTCCTCGCTTCGTCGGTGACTGGGAACAAGCTGGGCTTGTCTGTCGCTGGTGTTGGTATCGCTCGGTGTCGCTGGTCTCTGATTTCGATCTAGGCTACGATGATTCGTCGGGAGATGAGGCAGCGAAGCGAACTGGATGCGAGAGGGACAAGAAAAAAAGGCCCGGGCTTGTTCCTTGAGATGACGAGAATGCGAGCAGCGGCGGCGGCGGCAGGCGAGAAGAGACGCTGAGACGCTGAGACGCAGATGGGAGTTTTCGGGAAGACCAGGACGAAGGAGTGGGGACTTCCTGCAGGGCAGAATAGATGGGGGGCAGAAGGAAGAAAAACAAGGGGTCGTCGACAGGGAAGAGTCGAGTATCCGTGAATGCGGATTGAGGGGGAGAAGGAATCTTCCTTTGCTAGATGGATATGGAAGCAGTCCACGTCCACGTTAACGACTAGGTACGACTCCAAGAGCCCCAAGAGAAAGGCCTAGGAGAAAAATGAGGAGAGACTCAGACGGTGACGGTGACATTTGTGGAGACCTTGCGGGCGGAAAGTCTGCCGTTCTTTCTTTCCAAATTCTTCCATCCGTCATTTGTGACCACCTCTCTTCCATGGCCTGTTGCCTCCAGTGACACCTGAGGTGCGACGAGGAGGCGTCGGTGAGCAGCAATTACCTAATCTGCCCCGCCTTTTCTATGCTTATCCCACGCTCCTTCCTTACCAACTGGCAACCACAGCATGGGCAGTCACTTTTTTCTTTTTTGCAGGAGCCAGACTGAGCCTCTGAGGTGCGCCTTCCTCAGCAAACTCCCCCGCCTCTACGTCACTGGCGCTCCTGCCTCCTGAGACAGTTTGACCAGTGACGGCAGGTCCAGAAATGCAAGCGACCCTTCCTTCCCTCCCACATGAAATTCTCCGCGGGTCGTTGCCATTGCCGAATCGACTCAGTCTCGGACCGTTACTTCCTTTGGTATTCCAGGCCACCAAGACAGCTTTCATTCTCAGACTCATTCGCATTCTCACCTCATCGCTCATACCCAGACACGGCACTTCGCTTCATCATATCGCCGCTTCAAGTAACTCATGAACCACCAGTCATCTGAACCTCCCTGATCGACTGCTGTCAGCCTGCCAAACCCAGCCATCGGACCGGCTCATCCTGGCTGCCACAAGGCAAACTCCAAGGCGTCACTGTGAATTTCGAGCATAGGCCCCCTGTTTTGCATCTCCGACTTCAATTTGCCAAGTTTAGCGCAATCCGGCTTTATCCCGCAGGGTCCTCGGTGTCATCGGCGCCGGATCCCCACCCAAACGGCGATTAAGTGTGGATTTCATCCCGACTTTTCGCTTTTTACTCAGGAGCCCCCCCCAAGCGAGACCCCGGTCGACACCCCCGGACCGAGGAGCATTTCTTATTGAGCCATCAGGAATAAAGAGTGCTGACATAATTCAATCAAGTCGCATTAGCTTGAGCCGCGGCCTACTGTGTACGTCTTCGCACTCCCTACAGAGTCAAGGAACTTTTGTTATCGGATCCTCCAGAGAATGCGGCATGCATGCTCTAGTACTCCTTTTCCCTTTGATATTGAGGGCTGCTTCTGAAATATTTGAACGAACCGTGTCCCGCTGAGCAACCTCTGCTCCTCAGTGCGATAATGGATAAGCTTCTCTTGGGCAAAAGTGGTGGCATGTGCGCCGTCGATGCACCTGAGAGACCCTTTAGTTTTAGGCGCCGCCAGTACCTCAATGAAGAACATTGCCTCTCTCTACTATTGAGGCAGTTTGCGGCTTCATTGGAATACTGGTACATATTTCTGATTCGCTCATCGGTAGGGTTAAGCTTCTCTATCATACCCACAAGCTAATGAACTCTATTCTTGGCACACTCCTCAACCTCGTTCTCGGTCATCTACCACAGACCAACCATGTTATACGCAGCAGCCTTAAGGATCAAAGCACTCATTCGCTATAGCTTCTACCGACTCAAACCAGATATGATATGATTGAGAGCATGCCAAGTGCGTCAGAACGGCTGTTATCAAAACTTGTAAGGAGAGCTACAGGATATAATTCCCTCATCCCGCTCCACCTAGCATATGAAATGAAGAGTAGTGTTGACTATCACGATCGAATCATCATCGTGCATAAGTAGCGATGAGGGCCATTGGACTTTTTCCACTTCCACGCACGACTAATGGCGGTCGCAACATAGAACGCAATAGGTGTGGATACATCAGGCATCCGTACGGCACCGCCTCTAAGCTTTGCCAACAAGTCCCACTTTGCGGACTCATAAATCACCGGCAACAACTTCACGGAATCTCCATTCGTAACTAAATACGATGACTAAGTGACTATAAAACAGCTCTAGTGTATGAATGACATCCCCCAGGTTTTCCTAGACTACGCAGGTTGGAAATTTTCATTCTATCCCTTACAGTTCCACATGAGGTATTTCTGCCCACAAATTTGGATCCGAAGACAAAAATGCTATACAGTTTCTCTTTCTTGGTTGTGGCTATGACCTGTGCCACCACTGCCACCACTGCTACCTCTGCCGTCCCTTTCACCTGGCCCCCTACGCAAGGATCCATGTCCGATTTCGAGTACAACTTACGCTACGGGTGCGATTTCATGACATGGTGCGGAGGCTTCGATGGCGGATGCGAAGCCGAGGTATTGCAACCCACAATGCCACATAGAGTTGCTGAGCACTTACTGATATATCTGGGTGATGTTAGTGCCAGCGTCAAGGGAAACAAGGCTGGACTTGCACGAGTCCCAATTGCGAGTGTCTTTGCGAATAGACCTATTTGATCTTCAAGGCATCCATGCACATTGCACAAGTGGTACCGCCAGTGGCTAGATGCCATGCAGTTCCCTATACAAACCCCAGTTGAGGCTGAAAGCTAGAGTAGCGTGATAGTAATCACTAGATCAATTTGGACAGCATTGGACAGATAGCTACACGAAAAATCAATGCAACATCTTTGGGAGGTGAAGAGGACTCCGCACAACAATACAAAATGACCTTGGACTTCCTCTAACCAGCCAAAGACCTGGGTTACACTGGGCTGCGAAAGCAGCGTCCGTTATTGGGATCAGCTCTGTGAAATTTCGTGTCAGCTTACTGATTGATCCAAGTTCTATAGCAAGTATAGCAAGTATGAAAGCTTACATGTACTCCCAATTGCCGTACGCCGTTTTTCCTCCTTGGGCACACTTTGCTTCCTTTGAAAAGCCATTCACGCATTCAGGTCCATGGATAGTACGAGTTGCACCACTACCAAAATACTGCAAAGCGTCAGAGACAAGTAGAAATGGCTGCGAATTTCAAAATTGATACCTTCAGCTCAAAGTCCCACTTGATGCCATTCTTGTCATGCACGCAGATCCGTCGGAATTCGCCCTTGTTGTAGAGACCTGTAAGCAAGCTACAGACGGCGCTGAGATCGAGAACGTTGTTGTCATTGGCGTAACCTGTTCGTGGTCCTGATTTGAAACATTCCCCAAGAACCAAGGAGGGTCCAGCGAGAAGAGTTAGAGGGAGAATGTGAGTAGGACGCATTTTGCTAAGGACTGGAGAAAGTGTCTGTTTCGTTTTAGGACTCGTTGGTGAATGAGTCTTTGGGGCAACGATTTCTTCATGGCAAGCACACGAAGTACTTATAAATAAGCGCTGGACACGTGCATCCAGGAAAATGATCCTATTAGCATTACGAGCTGCCAAGGAAGCGATGAGCAGTTTTCAGCTCATCAATTGCAAACGAGCAATGATAGTCTTCGTGTTCAACTGTTCATTGCTTAGCTGTCGATCTTTCGTATTGAAGATTGAATTGACTGCCATTCATTTCTCGCTATGAAGCAGGTAGCAAACGCAAACTTCGCTGATCTGTCGAATGCCAAAGCCTGGAACAGGTGTACAGATTGCGCAGTAACACAACAACACATGTCCCCCTTTGCTGATGTTCACGCTGTTTGTATTACGAACCATTGTTCCCATAGCATTACCCCTACATGTACCCTTGCCTCTTGGTATCACCTCTCTGAAAGACAGTATCTCATCACATGAGTGTGGGATTCTGACTTGTGTTACATTCGCAATCTTATCGTTTTTTGGCGTTCCCAGATAGCTCGGCGAACGATGCACCATACCTTTCAGACAACGGGTCAAGAAAGCAATCAATGTGCCACCAAACTCTGAAGCTTAAGCACCAAGCTGTGATCTTGGAATGCCAACGTTGACAACAGGTCCCGTTTAGCAGTGAAGCAAGCCGTGGTCACGTCCTCAAACTTCAATCAATGTTTGCTTTTCTTGTGATCTTGACTCCTGTCAAGGCCGTGGTTGTCTTCGATGTCACCGTTGCTATCTCAATACCTAGTAGTGACAAATGTTGCGGCAAGGTAGATCACTACCTAAAATGCAGATAGAATTCTCTTCTAGTATTTAAATCTGCTCAGTTCCCGCGTAATAAAATGTGGGCTAGGCTCCTATTCAAGCCAACGATATTCTCGGCTCTTGATCACCATTCCAATCCTCCTCAAAGACCTTGGCTACTCCGTCAAAATGAGGGCATTATCACTTTCCCACCTCCTCGTGCTCGCTTCCTGGGCCGCCTTTTCTTTCTGTGCTGTGCTTGTAAAGAACTCTGGCGAGATCGATGACACCTTTAGAGGTGTTTCACAGCCGATGACAAGTCCTCCCGAGAAACGCTCAGTTCTTGTCGAGGATAGCCTGAAATACGATGGAGCCAAGGGGAATGATTGGGTAGCCCCTGCAAGGTAAAATCAGACCAAACATCGAACACAAATTACTTCAGTATCTGACACTTCACGGAAAAGCGTAATTTATCAAATTCAGAAAGATTCTGTCACAGAAGATCTGGCTTCACGAAACGACGATGATGATGAATTTGCTCCGACGGAAACAAACCCTCTATGCTCTCTGTATGGAGCTTTGCAGGCAAGATTATTCTCAGGGCGGTTTTGTCCATTGGGACTTGTAAGTCTTAATGTCTTTCTGGCGCGGTTCGGCTCATGATATACGTCTACAAATGTTGACTTGAATCAAAACAGCTGTATCAAAAGGTGCAACATGAGCTTTCACCAGGACAGAAGTCATGATCTGAACATGAACTATATACGGCGATATGGGATTGCTAGATTCGCATCTCTGGCTGCGATCAGACCGCTTATGGCGGCAGCGAAAAATTGGTGAAGGAATCGTGGTTTACCAGTCGTTGCTGCCTTCGCTGACGCTTCGAATATGGTACTCAGATTCGATTTGAGTAATTACGAAGATGGCTAGCCGGCTTTCATCCAAAAGAGTTCCTTCCAAATCTTCAATTCCACGCTCTTTGATTCTAGCTTCACCCACTCAACGGGTCGCGACTAAGATTGTTTGCCAGCAATGTGTGTGTCGGTACCGGCGCGTGATAGCTTCCCTCTCTGGCCAAAGCACTGCGCCATGCTTCCGTGAGAGCAATTCAAGCACAATCGTCTCGAAGTCATCCCATCGTTCCGTGATATGCGTGACCTTTGCCCTGACTTTGTTCTGGGCATCCTTATTGACAGTGTCCTTCACAATCTGACGTAGACGACTGATTTGCTCCTTATCGCCAGTCATAAACTCCAGCCGAGCTATGGCGAGTGAGAGGGCTGTATCACCTGCCTCGATCTTGTCTACTGTTACATTGCGAGTAGAGCTTTCCGCGTCGTAGAATCTCGGGCATCTCTTTGACATTCTGAAGAGTGCCTTTCCACCCTCTGACAGAGGCCCCGCACCAGCGACAGCCTGGAAACGCAGCGCACCACCGTGAATGAGGATCTTGACAGCAGCAATGTCGCCTAGGAGTGAGGCCACCATGAGCGGTGATACGCCATCAGGTGTCACCTTGTTCGGGTCAACACCAACCTCAAGCAGCTTTGCAACTGTATCCCCCACTGCCAGATGAAGAGGCGTTGCCTCATTAACACCCGCAAGTGTTGGATCCGCCCCTTGGTCTAAGAGTCGTACCATCAACTCAAGATTGCCCGTCATGGCAGTGATCATCAGCGGGGTTTCACCGTCACCGTTGGGACGGTTCACGTCGGGGTCCTTGGCGAGGATGTTATCGAGAGCATCTGAGATGTCTGGATAGTCTTTGCTAATCGGATCGCAGTAGACCCTGCACGCAAATTGGAACGCTGTTTCTTTCTTTGGACCGTATTGGCGCGATGATCGATGGGGATTTCCGTGCCACATTGCATCAAAAAGCCGCAAATCACGTAAACCCATGGCTAAAAAGAATGGAGGAAGGCCGTTGTCTGGCGTCGCGATGATGTCAGCCCCCATTTGGGTCAGTATTACAGCTAGGTGCCTGAACTTCTTTTGAAGACACAGCTGCAAGGGGCTGGAGATGCCCTGGAGACGGGCGCCGTCTGGATCTGCTCCTCGGTCTTTGAGCAGTGTTTCTGCAAGGTCCTCAAATCCATGCTTGATAGCGGTATGTAAAATGGTGGAACCATTGCTAAGGGTAGTATCAATGCTGGGAAGATAGTGCGCAAGAAGTAGCGCAGATTTGATGCATCTGTCCCTGTCCGCTTCCTCTTGACTTTCTTGTTGAAGGAAAAGTAGAACTCTTGGTATCCCATGTCGGGCGATGGTACCGAGAGCCATTTCGACGGCAACTGGGTCTTTGAACTGGCAATATTTATCGCCAGTGCCAAAAGGCAGGCATTCCATTTCGACTAAATAATTGAGCACTGGTACATCGAGACCCATATGTAGTAGGTACGTGGGGACCAGGAGCCCAGCGTCTTCTCCCGATAGGAAGAACTCGTGGCGTAGATAGTGGTGGTGTAGTTCATTTAGTCTTGAGATAATGGGGTAGGCCTCCGCTGTTGATGTTTCCAGGTCCACTTTATACTGTTTGATCACTGTGAGTGTAATCCGAAGGACTTCCTTGACGACGACGGCGTCGGAGCTACCCAATAGATGTCGGAACAATGGTCCGTGACGGTTGTAGAGGGACCATTTCGTTGCACCGGCCACGGAGCCTGGAGACCAAGGGAGGCTGGATGATGCGGACGATACAGAACCGGACACCAAATTCTCCCAGAGTGAATAAATCAATGGGTCGATAGCCTCGGAGAAACACTTGGTAAGTCTGAGCCAGTGTTTGCTGGCATAAGGGAGGAACAGATGGATGTCGTCTTGGATTTCTGATCGATACTGGTGTAGGTCATAGTTCAATCGCTCTAGATCTACGTTGGAAGCTCTGGCTCGCCTGTCGAGGGACATAAGGGAAATGAGTCTTCTTGTCAGGGCATTTGGACTTAAGATCGAGTTTGCCACAGTACCAGGAATCTTGTCAAACGAAACATTCTGGGCATGTGACATGCTATTCTCGAATACCCCATAGTTGAGATAAGTGACACAGATGGCACCGAGTTCAAACTCTGCTTGATGCAGATGAAAGTGGTAAGGAGAAGCTGCAGGCAACGCCGGGGCTTGAACGAGGTGTAACAGGACACTGTGATGAATGAACCTGATACATGAGTCCTCCTCGTCAATCTCCAATAGACTGCCACCATATGTCGAGGCCAAAGTGAATCCGGAGGGATGCATAGTTGAAGAACTCCAGATCGAGGATCCGGGTTGGACGTTCAGAGCCACACGAAGCTCATCCAGTGAAAGACATGGGTCTGCTGACGCGATAAGCTGGAAAACTCGCGATCCGTACTTCATGTCCGGGATTCTTAAAATTGCTTGATCAAACGCCTGTGGAAGATTTCGGGGAAGATTGTTGATGATGTCGAGAATTTCAGACTCAGAACGAAGTTCTCGAGTGTACTTGGGGCAAATGGCCTCAATCTGCAGTGAGAGCCACAGAAACATGCCCTGAGAACGTACTAGTAGCTGTTCCTTGACTAGCTGTTCAAGCCTGCTTGATATTGGCCTGATGAGCTTCCAGTTTTCGACCTCGGCCGATATGTAACTTTCCAGGTCTAAGGATCTGTCGACACTTTCGAAAGAAATAGTTTGGGTGATACCAATTGACGATGCTGCAACGGATTTGCATCCAGATGTGGGTCGGGAAGAGCAACACAGTTTGACTCGTCTGAATTGCATAAGTCGATGAAGCTGACCGAGAACTGATTCCACCTCTTCCAGAGGAGCTTCGTCCAAGCCATCCAGGACCAGTACACATTGCCAGACTGGTGGTGTTATGGAGAGCAAGAGGTCAATACAAAACTCGGCATGGAATACTTGATGCTTCATTTCGTGTTCGTCTAAAAAGTTGTCCAGGAATCGGGCCAGAGACGAATTTCTCAAAACTTGATGTACAATGCTGCCGAGGATATTGTGGTCTTGCAAGGTTGTTTGATTGCTGTTTTTGCAAAAGAAGAATGCTACAGATTGGAGTCTCCTTGGATCTGTCGTAGCTAGATCTTTGTGGCTGGTCAGCTTCTTCGAGAATAAGATATTGACAGTTCAATCGGACCAAACCATGTGAAAGGACCGTGAGATGTAAACGACAAGGAAAGTGGCTGACTGACTCTCAGCAGGATTTTTATGTGCGATCAAACAATCTGCCACCACGGAGGCCATGGTGACAGTCTTTCCAGACCCCAAATTACCCTGCAGCCACAACGTTGCTGAAGTCTTTGTGCCCAGCCACTCTTGGTAGCTCTTGTCGTTTAGGATCCAACTAGAGGTCCCCTTCTTTCGCTCCCTCGTCCAAATGGACTCGAACTCCTTCTGATTGGGAGCCAAGGCTTCAAAAAGTCGATGCGCACGCGTTTCTCGGTCCCGATGAGCGGCATCGCGGGAAATCATAACCTGGAATCGGCTGAATCTCTCAATAGAAGACAAGTTGCTTTCAACATTGGCCTTTGCAACGAGTACTGCTACGCGATTTTCAATCAACTGACCCCATGATCGCAAGTCGTCTTCCAGTGGTTTGAAGACCGAGTCGAAGGTGGAAGTGAAAGACGTTGCGAGGTGAGACGCAAATGATTTATGGGCGTCGATGGTGATCTTTTTGCATATTTTGATGAAAACAATGACATACTCGCACATGTACGCCTGAGTCTGGCGACAGGTGGGAAACAGCAAGGCGAAATCCTTGTGGAGAGTAGACGATTTACCAATCCTCATCAGAAGAGTTGAAACTTTGTCGAAATATGACAGGAAGCTCAGTGATATCTATAGCTCTCGTCAGCTATCCTAAGTATCGGAATGACAACTTGCAACGACTTAGTTCAGAAAAAGGCTTGACGAACATACCTCCAGAGTCATCCTGACCGTGGCCCAAACCCCAGACGCCAAGAGGTTTTGGGCGCCTCCAACAAGGACGTCGCCAATAGGGGCGAATTGACAAATTCTCTCCAGAACAGTGACGAGACGGGTGGCGTTGGGCCTCCAAGACCGGTGACGGTGAGCCCCATCTCGATTGATCTCTTCTGTTAATTGCAAAACCTCCATGGCGGTTGGTGGACTTCTTGTCTGCAAGTTCTTGAAGCGGATGTGAGAGTCATCTCGACGGCGCTTGAGAGAAACGCTGAATTCTGAAATGGTTTGAGCCAGACGAATCTCAGGTTTCAGTTTCCCCACGGTTGCTACCGCTGTAGAAATGTTCTCCATTCTGCAATTTTTGGACTGGTTAGGGGGATTGATCTTGAACTGGTAGAGAGACTGAAGCTTCCAAGGAGGGAGAATGGCGGTTCAACGTTGACTGCAAATGCCCTGAAGGAGCTTGGAAGTTGGACAAAAGTAAGCAACACGGAAGGTCCCTGGTCTCGTGGTGAGCTCGTCAGACCGAGCCGTAGGACTGCTTAGGTGGCAGTGCCTCAATGTGACCGCTGTGTAACTGTATCGGGGCCTTCATTTTAACTCATTGGCTATTCGAAATATCGACCAGTGAGCTTTGAAGGATGCATGCAGCTCATAAGGCAGCGGGCGCAAGGGGTGGCTAGGCATCCATGGATTCTGAGACGTCGTGTTGGTCTCCGAAATCACGATTGATCAACCCGGCCAAGCCGGCTTGGCTCCCAAGCATTGGCAATATCATTCGTCCTGGAGTAGAGCCTGGTCGTCAACTTTCCGAACGATGTATATGATGAGATTGACACGGGGACGAGAGACGCCCCAGATCAGGCTGGGCTGACAAAAAACCATAGAACAAATCATGCGCCAACAAACACCGCATGCTATGCATATAGATAGCTCTTGAGTCTGTAAATCTTGAGTGCACTCTTGGCACTATTCTGAATCGTCACTGTTGCTTTTCTCCACCCAATTTTGAGCCCTCGATGCAAATTTGGAAATACCCAGGACCAAAACGCCGGCGAGGAGTGCAGAGGTGGCGGCTTAGGTGAGGTCAATATGCGAGCAAAAGAATAAGAGTCATCTCAAAAGACTCACTGATGGTAAAAGACCAGCCGACCCCAATGGCGTCGATCATTGGCACCAAACCGCCCACGCTGCCAGCTCCGAAACTGTACTGAACGATGTATTTACTACTGATGACAGCTGTCCTGCGTTCCGGCATTGCCTCTGATGCAATGTATTAGTCCAGGTCGAACCGTCGAAGACGCAACAAGATGGCAGGGAAGGCTCACCGGCGGAGTATGTGTTCAGACCGCTAAAAGACCACATGAGGCCGAGACCCTCAAAGAAGCAGCTGACGATGGGCAAAGCGATTCCGCCGACTTCCTTTTGCACGCTCCACCCGTAAATCAGAGTACCGGCAGGGAGAACGAAGAAAATTGCTGGCAAGCTGCTCTTGAGTCTATCCTGGGGCAAACGGAGACCATTACGCTTCCGGATGTATCGCTTAACGGTGTGGTCTGAGACTCTGCCGCCGATCGTGCTTCCCATTAGAAAGCCCGCTCCGGGGGCAAGATAGAAAAGTCCACTGATAAGAGGCGTAGTCAGGCCGAACCGAGGGTTGATGACTCGTCGTATGGAACTCAAAAGGCCGTACTGGTTGAATCCCAGGAGTCCACAGGCGAAATTCTGCGAGATGGATCAGATTACGAGCTAGAGTCGGGTTGGGGGAAGAGCAACTCACCGCCGCAACGATGTTGGGATACTTGAACTGGCGGAGAACGCCCATCGGATTGAACGCGTGGGCCAAGTCGCCCAAAGACCGAATAGGAGTTCTCTCTGCGACGGCGATCTTGAGATGCGCCAGCTGGCTCGCTTTTGGCACGAAGAAGAAGGCCATGATGAGACCGAGAAAGGTCATGCCAGCCTGGACCCCATAGATGACTCGCCAACTGGTGAAGGTCACGATGACGGCTCCCGTCAACGGCGCTGAAAGCTCGTCAGTCGAAAGACTCTTGGGCACAATGATGGAGTAAGGTAGTCAAACAACGTACCAATTGCGTTTGCCGCCACACAGCTGCCCAAGAAACAACCCACTGCAGTTCCGCGAGTTGTCTAAACAGTAGTCAGGCTCAATATGATAAACATAAGTGGCACAATATCCGACTTACAGGCTCAAAGATATCTGCCAAGATGGTTTGCCCTGCAACTAGGAAGAATGGACCAGTTGTTCCTCCGATGACCCAAATCGCTGTGAAGCAGGCAAAGCTATTTGAGAGCGCCGATCCTATCGAACACAAGGTCAAGAGGCAGTTGGCTACGAGATAAGTCGTTCTGCGACCAAGGATATTACTCGTCGGTAGCCATATCAAGGCAGACATAGCCATGGCAATGAAGACGCCAGCATTAGCTGTGGTAATGGCATGCGTTGAGACGTTGAAGTCGGCAGCAACCTCGGAAGTCGCTGTCAAGATGGAGCTACCAGAGAAGGTGACGGGCAGGGCCATCCAGCAAACCACCGCAAGCGTTACCCATTTCTTCCATGTTGGCATCTCCATCACCTCGTCATCTGCTGCAGCCACGGGTCGAAGAGGGGCTGCCGCCGCCGGAATAGGGCCGGTAAGCGGATCGGGGCTTAGTTGAGGGATCTTGACAGCGGCGGTCAAGCCGTCCGGCTTTTCGACATCTGGGGAACCCATTGCGAGGAAATCACATTAAAGAATGGAAAGTAAGCTGATCTCTAAGCTAAAGTATCGTCAGAGGATGAATACTGCCTCGGGGAGTCCTCCGAATGTATATAGTCGGGAACTCCTGCAGCTCTCCGCCGGTCGGACACGCCTTCGGCAGGCGAATTTTCTTCCATTTTTTCACTACACCTTCTCTGACTCAAATATTTCATAAAGTGGGCCTCGTAGGGCGACGTGATGCACGCATAGGCGACGTGATCAAGACCAGCCCGGACTTGTGACGGAAATGCGAGTGAAATAGGGCGCCAGTGGTTGGTTGCTTGGTCTGAGGAGTCGGCAATATGACATGAAGCCGACTAGAGATGGTTAAGCCCCTGGACTGTTTGTGGGGTAAAGATCGTGACATAAAGCTCGGCCAAATCCACATTACGCCGATAATGTGGAGAAATCACAGTATTTTATCGGCATATTGCGCGATTTATGCCGAACTATCTCGGCTGGGCTAAAGCTTTCTCCCCCAAACGTCTAGCTGTGACAACAAAGAAACCTTTACCAAACTAGTGCTGATGACTAGGTATCACGCAGCGGTAGTATTCTAGGAATACGTCACAAGCCGCAGCAACTTTGAAAGGTGAAGGGGTATCTTCAAATATCCCTTGAGACTCTCGGTATCCCTACACGTTTCCCGAAAGCATTCAATCGGACCTCACGAGGGCAATATCCTAATCAGCCATATCGATTGACCACCATGACATCGGAAGGCGACGCGTCCAGTGCGGAGGATAGGGTCGCTTTGAGATCCGCTCCGGTATCCTCATCGGCTTCCTCCCGACCAAAGACCAAACCTACCGCGTGAGTATTACAACTTGTCGCGCCGCAAAGCTGCGGAAGGTTTCCAGATGGTTAACAACGGCGATTCCGCCATAATAGTTGCCGTAGGTGTCACTCGCGCAAAGTGAGGTGTTCCGGCGGGCAACCATGTGAGAATTGTCGCCAAGCAAGCAAGGGTGTGGAATGCACATATCCTCGGCGGAACCGCATGGTAAAAGTTAGCCAGCGGTATGTTAGAACCAGAGATATTCATACCTCGGACCCGCGATTCCAAGAGCGACTGGTGTGTCGAACTAACTCGATTTCCCATAGTTATATCGATGACCTTATTGCTGAAAACCAACGATTGAAGAGCAATAGCGGCATTGGAAGTCAATCTCGAGCAGCCAACCTGCTCCCAGATCTCGCAGTCGTTGCCCCGGTAAAAGAGACAACAGATACTAATGTAACTGCCATCCCAGCGCCATCGCTTGATGAACGACCATGGTTCTTCGACATGAATATTCCACACACGCCGATTCTCATCGGTGAGGCCTCGGACGCCGCATTCGCTACCCGCTTCCGCCAAGCAATCTCATCAGCTGAGAGTAGTCACATCCCGCGGGTGAACTATGCCACAGATGAGAGGCTGCTCGCTCTATCTGATACAGACTGCCCTTGGCCTAGTCCGGCAAGAGCACGTTTTCTCGTCGGGGTTGCCCTGAGATATGTCAGCCGTTGCTACCACATCATTCGCAAGAGCTCGATTCTGGATGCCTTGGAACAGACCCTCCAGAACCCGGCTGAAAGTGATTCGCTTCTCAAGAGTAAGCTTTGGGCGATGTTTGCTATCGGCGCCATGTACTCGACTCGATCTGCCACGTCGGAAAAGCACTTCCCCGGCATGGGCTACTTTGCACGGGCAACTCGCATCCTCCGCATCGTCAGCGAACGACCGAGGATCGATGTTGTCGAGTTGAGATTGTTGCTGGTAAGATGGCTTTGATAAATAAATGTTTTCGATCGCCTCTGAAGTTTTGACAGTCTTTCTACTCTCTTGCGCTCAACCGGCGACATACCGCCTACACTTTTGCCGGCTCCGCGACCAGGCTCGCTGTTGTCATGGGCCTTCATCTCAATGTTCCTGAGACGCAGCTCAGAGATGCAGCCGCTCGAGAGCATAGGGTCAGAGTTTGGTGGACAGCATACATCTTCGACAGGATGTGGGCAGCCAAGTTAAGCCACCCAGTAGCCGTCCAAGACATCGATATCGAGGTGGACCTGCCATCGAATCCGGTTGTCGACGATAATATAGCGGATGACTTTGCCGATGCATCATATTTTGTTGCTAGTGTAAAGCTCGCTGGCCTACTGGGAAAGGTTGTGCCATCCATCTATCGAAGAAGGCTGCAAGACACCTCCTTATCCCATAGAGTTCAAGAGGCGTTGAAGGATCTTCGTGGGTGGTCTGCAGAGCTCCCTCCACAGCTTCACATTGACTCGAAGCCTACATCGGAACGCATGCCAAAGCCCATCTCGCTACATCTCAACTTTAATCAGGCAAGCAATGAAGCGCGACTGCCAGACGGGGTGTGACAAAGCTAATTTTGATTCAAGTGCGCTATCAGCACCACCCGTCCGATTCTGCTCCATGTGCTGCGAACGCATGTCGCATCTTGGGGAACACCAGAGACCCCAGAACCACGAGTTCCGGCCACCGCCATGACTCTCGCAGAAACTTGCATACGTTGCGCTCGTCACACCTGCCGACTGCTGACAGAATGCTGGATCGACGGGTCTTTTGCAACGTTTGACTACTTCTACACGCAGTATCTCTTCTCAGCCGCCACCATCCTCGCTGCATCTAGCCTTCTGAGCGGCAAAGAGAGTCACAATGACAGAGAACAATTTGAAGAAGCAGCTCAGTTCTTGTCTCAGCTGAAAGATAATGGCAACTATGCAGCTGAGGAGTTCTGCCATCATATCGACGCTATGAAGCTTACAATGGCCGCAGCTCACGTGCGCCGTGGTGATTTCGCCGGGGCGGGAGACTCGGCGGCTTTGCTGAACGACACAACAGCGGCTTTCACGGATGCTGCAGTCAACCTCAACCAACCTTTCGCAGAGCAAAACACAACCGCTGGTATGGCGCTCAACGAGCCGTCGTTACAGGAGCTCCTGGCCCAGCCACTCCTCGACTTGCAGTTTATAGATGCGTCGATCTACAATGATGGGGCTCAGGGACTTTATTGGCCAGATTTCAGCCCGGAATCATGGACGCCTGAGACGTGGACTGCAACTTGAGTACCAACCAGATGACTACCAAGGACGCGGATATACACTTGACATGCAGAGATTGGGCAACAAGAAACAACGATTGGGGTTTCAAGCTACTAATATCATTCTACACAGAGGCTGTGGGTACTTGTTGACCCAGCCGTTTTTGGTACATCTCATCCCAGACTGGCCCATCGTCGAGTACGTATCACCAAAACTTGAATGGAATTGCTAGTCTTCCAGCCGCATTCGGCGTCGCACTAGCAGAAGCCGAAGAGCCCGAAGCACCTGATGCCGTGCTGGCTTGTGAGCCAGTAGCGGTCGTAGTCGCTTGGTTCGTCGTCGTGACCGTAACCACGTCGGTCGTCGCGGCTGTGGCAGACACGCTTACACTACCAGTGCATGCCTCCTCGCCAGAGACAATGGTGTAGCTGGTGCTGCAGCCCACCCTAGGGCAGGCACTCTTGTCGCAACCAAATGTGAAGGTCTCTGTTGCCGCTGCACTGGGGCAGCCGCATGACTGCGTCAGAGTCGACACGGTCACGCATTGCGGTGCCTCCCCGGTGCAACTAGGACACAGTGACAGCTCTGTTGCCGTAGGACACCCATCTTCCACCACGGTAGGAAGCGGCACCGGAGTAGGCAGAGGAGTCAATGAATCAGTTGGTAGGATCGAGTAAAGAAACGACTCTGAGCTTGTCTGGGCAACAATCGGTGCCGCGCTATCAATGTTAGCAATAAGTCTCTGTGCCAACGGTTGACAGATTCATACACGAAAAAGAGCGTTGCTACTTGGCTGATCACCTTCATTTTGGTTCTTCTTAACCTTGCCTATCAAAAATGGGTAAAATGTTGTATTATGATGATATCACGGACAGAAACTGAAAGTAATTTGATGAGAGAAGAAGCGAGTCCCACGGTCAGCCCAGCGCGCTCGAGCTCTTTTGAAGTCACGAGCCGGTAACACCACCGGCGATCAACTCCTCCTGACAGGACGTCCGTCATTCGTTCATAATCGTCGGTGTACAAACCACCATCCTTTTTCGGCATTGGGGTCTTGGCTTGCAGGGGTGCTATTGCGGAGAGCCCGTATCGACTGGCCACCAACCTCTTTGATTCTACCCTATTGCAGCACCCTTCAAGGAAAAACACGTATTCTCACTGCGGCCAATCCCTCTAAAGCAAGAGTCACACCAGCCGAGACTTAGTCTTTCAAGGCGCTCCTCCTTACGTTTCAGAAGTACGTGGACACATCTAGGGTGCTGATGCCAAGGACTACCAACCCGCGAATCGTTCATTGTCCTCATCACCTTCCTATAGAGGCAGGAATGCAGTGGCTCGTGCCCGCGCGGGATATGACGCAGATTTTCAATTGTACTCGCTCGTTCACCTGTGTCAATAGGTATTTACTCAATACCCAAAGGCACATGTACATGCTGGTCTTACTGGCGCTTGTCAGTGATCTTTCCCTTGGACGAGCATCTCTCAGATCTCTGATGCGTCAGGTTTCTTCGACTGCCAAATCTTTGAGCCTTAAGGGCAAACCCAGCAATGTGCAGCGGATCCATTCGGTTCTTGGCATAGAAGTTAGGGTAGGGAAAAGAGAATATGATCGCCACAATCGGCGCCGTATTATACTTGAGAACAAATCCCCAAAAAACCCGAGATCTTCCACTAACCTCCGATGGATATGATGGCATTCAGATCCTGGCGCAGTTCATTACCCTGGAATTGTGTGTGAGAAAGGGAGGGAATGCTTTGGAGGGAATAACCGAACACGGGTACGCACTGGGTAGGATGTCAGATACCAAAAGCTTTTGTAATGAATTTTCTTCAAAAAGGATTTAGCTGTGTAGCCTGGAGGGTCGGAAGAAGACACCACGGAAGAGGTTATGCCGACGATAAACATCCCCAAAGCCAACACCTGCACCGGCTTTGGAGACATCGCATGGGCGATAACGAAGCCCACCATAGTGCCTCCAGCGTAGCCAAAGATGTTGTACAAGCACCAAGTTAGAAGGCCACAAGAATCAACAACGTCGCGGTAGCGGTAGAGCCTAGTAGCACACACTTGGTAAAGAAACGTGGAAGGAGGCAATGGCTACGACGGACGACACGTAAGACCGAGAGAACTCATTGCCCCAGTCTGAATTGTAGACCAAAGTCTGCATGAGTGCAAATGCTGATCTGAGCTCGAGAATGAAGAAGGTGGGGAAAAGAGCACGCCGATAAGCCGTGTAGTCTTGGACTGCGCTACCAATTGCCGTCAAGTTTCAGGCGATGGGGTCCGCATTCTTTCTTTCGAAGAACTCATTATTCCTTCCCATCGGAGTGGGTTGCGGAAAGAGTACTGGAAGTATGTCATTATCCAGGCGATTATTGGAACATAGAAGATAATAATCGCGTAGCCGATATAGACGACGCCGAATCCGACACCCTTAGCACGCTTGTTGGCATGATGCCATGCAAGGGCGCAGCCTCCTCTGTACGCTCACCTGAAGCTGAACTCGGGAGGCAACTTGGTATGGCCAGATAGCGGAGTGGAATAAGGTACCTTAGGGAATGGAAAAATTGGAGGGCGTGATTGTTGAACACGATCGAGGGGAATCGCAAGAGGTTACCGAGACCGATTGCCCCTCCCATAGCGGCGATGATGAGAAGTATTCGAGATTCTCAAACATCACGGCCGTCTTCGCCTTTGTCGGCAGTCGGCTCGAAGAGACTGTAGAGTTTCTTCCTGAAGTTGACCATGTTTACTAGGGATGGTTTGACTTGAGCTGAAGGATGCGGAAGTGGTTTATGGATGCATCGGGGGGACACTCTCAATATGATACCCTCTTATACCCTTAGCCAAGCAGTTAAAAAGCCAGTCAGACTTCTTTGCGCGTGTAAGCATAGCCCTGTGATAGGAGACTGAATTGGTTGGGATAAGCCGACCAAGGCCCTTGGTCGTCTTGTCCAGGATTACGACCTTCCAAAATCTAACTTGGTGATAAAAAAACAAGGATATCACAGGTCACAGATATAAGTCGGGATCAGACGAGACAAAAAGGCTGGGGCGTGGTACTTTCTCGCCAGATCTTGTGAACATAGATTGGGACCCCGTCGGCTTTCCGGGTGTACGCCGACGTTCGCCCAGCTCGCCGGCGCCATCATCTATTCTTCTTGGCCAACGACAATTGCCACTGGACTTTCAAAAAGACTCAACTTCCCCACATCCTGGCAGAAACGCGTCAGGGTTGACGGCCAAGCATTTGCTGACAGCTAAAGGCCCACCATATATCGCCAATGTACATGTCCAAGATCTCTTGTTTGAGCTTCTAAATAGACTCGCGGAAGATCTGATGCTGCACCTGATCGTTCATCTGACAAGCCCCAAGACAATATCCCTATTGGTTCGGCCGAGCCCATGTTGCGGCTTCTCCTTGAAGCGTTACACGTGACAGTTATTCTAAGGTCCCGCTCAGAGTTGGGCTGTCTTGCACATCTTGAACTCGGAAGTGGCTCAAATAACAGAGAAACGGGGATAAGCCGTAGAAGAAAAGTCGCTCGGGAAAGCCGAAGTTTCCCTTCTTCAAAAATGCCGCCGTCTACATATGTAAGTGATATCGTTGTTGAGTCTTTCCTCTTAAAGCTTGCTGCTATAGCCTATTAGCAGAGGATCGTAATTGGATACGTAAACGAGCCGAAGCTACCTAAACTGATAAACCTTCTACTACTATCGTGATTTCAAGCTGATCAAGCTTAATCACTTGCAACAAGTGCGTCAAGTCCGTCGGACTCGGCATGAAACTCCGACCATCTGAAAATTCAGTTGTCAAAGCGTCACATAAGGTAGCGTATTGCCCAAGTAGGTTGTCCCGGATGCAGGGCCATAGTGTAAGCTTTGTCGTGCTGACGAATTGATGCCTGTCTTAGTAATGAGCTCATAGTTGCAGTTGCCCGAATAAGTAGGAGTAGCTCTTGGCGCATTGTCCGAAGCATCTGATCATTCTGACAACGTATTTGGACCTTGAAACCATAAAGCCAGAATGCTTTCCATCAAGACTTTTCTACCTGCTTGCTCAGTGGTATGTCAATACTAACACAAATTGTATCATCTCATATTTGCCAGCCTCTCCCCGCTTTGCCGTCAGATTCCAACGATCAGAATGTCGTCCGCCTCTAATCAGCCCGTCAACCTCGTGTTGGGCGTGGCAAACGTAAGCTGACCGACCGAGTGCGAGAGATGTGTGTTACTTTTGACAAAGCTAATGTTCACAGGTCGGAGACTCATCTGCTGATCCCATGGCACGCTACGACACACCCGACCAAGTGAACGCATTCCTGAACGTCTTCGCTCGACGCGGGTACAAGCAGCTTGATACCTCGCGCATGTACTCACCCCAGGCACCCACAAGCTCGGAGCCCAGACTCGGCGCCGCCAATGCCGGCGAGCGCTTCACCATCGACACCAAGGTCACGTCCAGGTCGCCGGGATGTCACACTAAGGACAAAATTTTGAAGGAGATTGACGAATCTCTCAAAGCGCTGAAAATCAAGCAGATCAACATTGAGTATCTACACGTGCCCGACCGAACGACACCATTCGAAGAAGCATGTGAGGCCATGAATCAGGCGATTGGGGAAGGCAAGATCAAGAAATGGGGTATCTCAAACTACTCCGCTGCAGAGGTTCAGCGGTTTGTCGACATCTGCCAGGAACGCGGCCTCGTCAAACCCAGTGTGTACCAGGGCCATTACAATCCGCTCGTGCGAGGCGGAGAGAACGATTTGTTTCCCGTATTGCGCAAGAATGACATCGCCTTCTACGGATACAGCCCCGCCGCAGCTGGATTTTTTGCAGGCAATCATAAGAAGGTTAAAGCGGGTGGGCGATATGATACATCGGTAAGACTTTTCTACTCGTGTCTATTAAAATACGAGAGACTGACCAAGTGTTCTGTGACATCCAAGATTCCTGTGGGTAGCATTTATGCAAAATTCTATGTCAAAGAATCCATCATGACGGCGACGGAGAAGGCGATTGATATCGCGTCTAAGCACGGAATCGGCGGCCATGCTGCGGCACTTCGGTGGACGGTATATCACAGCATCCTCAGCAAGGAATACGAAGACTCGGTAATCATTGGAGCCTCGAGCCCGGAGCAGCTGGAGACTAATCTCGACATGATCGAACAAGGACCGCTTCCAGAGGATGTGGTGTCTGCTCTCGAGGAGTTGCACGAGCAGATTGTCGACAAAATCCCGTACCACATGTAGTCTACGATGCTCTAAAGCATTGAGGTAGCTTCTTCCGGACTAGTATCAACGGCTAAGCTCAATGGAGTAGGAGTAGACCTTGGCAATGCTGACTGCATATATCAAAGCCGTCAACATCACCGCTGACAAATGGTATCGCTTATTCGAAGTTGCCTATTGAGTGTTGTACGACAGTTATATCTTGTTCTTTTTACGATAATATCGAATTGGATAAGAAGACATATCCTCGAAGCAAATGATTTCGCTGTAAAAGACTTTATTTGACATATGTTACGCTTGCCAGCATGGAGTTCATCGTCATAGTACATCCTGACCAGAGAAGGTCCGCCCGCTTGAAGAAACAGGCTCACGCTCACGCAGCACGAGTGACCCATGCACGGTTAAGGAAACGTCAGGTGGCCCGCCATGGCAATCAAGACCCGGACATCCAAGTTAAAAGTCGTGGTCGATCGATTTTATTGAGGTCTCGAGAGGAAGAACGAGTGAGCCGTCCACAACAAGACGTGGAATTACAGCATCTGGTTGAGCCTTCGATACCAAGCACAATACCTGGCGCGTTCGAGCATGAGCCGTTGGCTAGCTTTCTAAAGTCTTCCACAGCCGAAGAGAAAATGCTATTCTTTTACTGTAAGTCACGATGTACATCATCAATGTCACTTTTGAAGGCCCGGCCATGCGAAGCTATTGGCACTGCAAGGGTGTTGGAAACTAACGGTCGTAGATGGTCAAGTCATTGTCCCCAACATGGATTCGCAATGTCCTATTTTGTGCTACCTCGGCGAAAACTTCGATCACATAAGGAGGAACTGGTTGCTTTGTGGCTCTACCGATATTGACCTCTTGCAAGGGTTCTTGCTCGCAGCCAGCCGTCATTTATCCCTCTTTCATGGGGAGCAGTGGGGAAACTGGGCAGCCAAGTTCAAACTAAGGCACATAAGCGACCTGCGTCGTGCCCTGTCCTCTGACGATATATTATTGCGACGAACTGGTGTTGCGAAAGCATTGGTGTTGTCATTCGACGAGGTAGGCAAACTTCAACATAACTTCCAGTTCCCTGGTATTGTGAAGTACGTTAATTCAGTAAGGGTTCTAATTTTGCTTTGTAGATCATGCTCTGTGACATGCACATGGCCTCAAAACACGTTCGGGGTGCTATCACAATAATCAGGGATTCTGGAGGAATCGACGCGCTTGGACTGAGTGAAATTGTTCGTTGTGTTCTCTTCAGCTGCATGTTCGGCAAAGGCCTACTAGATGGACAGCCTCTGTTCGAACTGAGCCCAGCACCTCTATCTACAAGTCATTAGACTATGTTGTAACGCATGCAATTACTGTTTCTTCAAACTTGCTCTAGGACCATGTTCCGTTCGCAGGTCCAAAGTAGCCTACATCCGGCATTTGCAGCCACGGTAGGCCTTGTCCATCAGCGGTTTCACTCCATACGGTGTTTCCCCACCAATCAGGGAATTGCGCATTAGGGCCTACGTCAATGTTAGTCTTAAGTGCCTTGATAAGATCAAGTGAGCTATCTGTGCCGACTTACCGTATGTGACTGCGAAGAAGATGACGATACCACTGATGGCAAGTCCAGTGTCTAGCGCCGCGGCGAGGACGTAGTTGTACTTGCTCCACCAGGCGTAGAACTTCCGGTAGATGATCTTATTGAAGATAAGGTTGACAATGTACCATGAAGAATAGTTAATACCCGTGGCTGGAGGCACGTTGTAGGTTCCAACAAAGATGAGCGGCCAATTGATCTTGCGAATGAAGTCAGACTTTGTCTTCTTGAAGATGAAGTACGTAATCGGCGGCAGGATAAGTCCGATCCAGAAGAAGTGCAAGAGACCGGAGTAGATGGCGCCAACGGAGTATAGACGAGCGGGCCCGACGAGACCCCAGATAACCGAAGACGAGAAAACGGTGCGACCGTTGGGGCAGGAGAAGCCATTGGGTTGGTCCTCGGTGCAGATACCGTCAACATTGCCAAGCATCCAAAGCGTGACACCTGTCTGGGTCAATGCTCCAAGAATCGTTGCAAGACCTTGGGCAAAGAAGAGGGTCGTGGGCGGGATCTTGAGGTAGTGACCGAGCTTCATATCGGCCGCGAAGTACAGACCTTGACCAACGACATCCGTGCTGAGGATCTTGAAGAGGATGTTGGCAATCGGTTTGCCCTGGAACATATATCCTCCGATGAACTCGGACAGCACGTTCAGCTGGTTGGCGTCCACGTTCGTGACGCCCTGGATCATGCCGCAGGGGACCATGTAGACTGCAGGAATGATGAAGGCGAGGATGACTCCCCACCACGGGAGACCAGTGTCGTAGCCCTCTGCGGTACCGACTGCCATGCCGAAGACGACCAGTAGAATGACCATCCACCACCACCACTTGACAGTCTTGTATGACTGCATCAGGCGCGCATGGATGTCGAGTTTCAGCGTTCCCTTCATGGCATGCACGATTTCATCGAAGTGAAAGAAGTAGACATGGGAAAGAACACTATCGTGACAAAGTTAGATTAGAATTCGGTAGTCGACTTGGCTTAACACCTACCTCGTAATTGAAGCAAAAGATAGGCCGTACACAAAGGCGAACGTGGCTGGCAGATACGGGGGAGAGTACGAAGAATACTTTTGCTGATCGAATTCGTTGTTCGTGAGAACCTCCGTCACGTTGTACAGGCTGCCGAATCGATCGTAGACGTCGGCTGTGCAGAATGGCATGTACGAGGTGAACCAGGTGTTGGTGTAGTAGATCGCCGGCGTGATGATCCAGAAGAAGAACGCAAAGCCAAAGAAGACGTTCAGCGCGGCCCAGTGAGGACTGAGAAGCGGGTTCGTATTGTACGCAATCATAGACCAGTCGAAAGTCAGAGGGAAGAGGCCCATGCCAGTGACCATGCCAAAGACTTGGTTGACCGCCAGGTTGTTCGGCGCAATCCAGCAGATCCAGGTGAAGTAGCTGAGGCCCGTGAAGATGAGACCCGGGAACCAGTACCAGACGAAAGCGCATCCACCCACAATCATGAAGAACTTGATGCGGGTGATTCTCCATCCGTCAGCAATGGCGTTGGCTCGAGAGTGCAGCGAGCTGAGGAGGGCAACATTGCTGAGCACACCAGGCCAGATCATGCTGGCGGGCTTGACGAGCCACGGCATAGCGAGACCTGCGACGGCGTATCCGCTAAGCTGGCAGCACAGAACAACGAGCACGGAGAATCCTGGCGGGATGTAGAAGCCATACAGCCTGGCTGCTTGAATGAGGTTGGTCGCATCAGCTGAGCCGAAGCCAAACGAGACGTTGGACATGATTGTCACGAGAGCATGCTCCTTGATGTTGAAGTGCCGGTCGGGGTTGAAACGGCTGATGGGGAGAATCTTGGCGAGCGCGACGCCGATGGGGAATGCAATCAGTTCTGCGACGAGAGATACGATGTGAACACCGGGGGATCTCAATGAAAAGAACTGGTTCACGCCGGCGCCAAGGAAGACAAAGACCTTTGCAGTCAGTTAGCATTGAGTTCCTCTATGAGTCGGATCGCCAATTGCATACAATTCCAAGGAACCAGGCTCGGAATGTGTTGACGGGGATCGCAGTATCGTCCGTCTCCGGCACAACGGCTCTGACCTGGGGGAAAGGCGACGTATCGGCATCGTAGTCCCCCTCACCCTCCTCGTCGAGCACCCGCTGCATATCAACCTCCAACTCCGCGAGATGTCCATTTTCGAGTTCGATGTCCTGGCCGTGGAGGTTATGCGCCGTCTTGATGTTGGGCTTCTCTCCCTGCCCCAGTGACTTTTCAGGGTCCGCATACTCTGGCGGCGTATGGCTGATGTCGGTAGCCATCTTGTTAAAGGCTCGGGTTTGCGACGATGCGATGGCGGCGGAAACAAGCAAACGCCCAGGAGTGCCAAGAAAGTAGCGCCCGGCGCGGCATCGTGGCTATTATGAAGGGCGGATGCGGGTTACACTAATGTAGGTATGAAGGGCACAGAGTCGCATCGACTGAGAGGAAGCGATATGGTCCGATACGCTATGCGCCCGACGCGTACGACAATCTCCTTGACATCTTCTCCTGCTTATCATTTCGCCCCTGGTCGGTGGTCAGCCGATGATAGGATTCTTAAAAAGTGCCATTGGGGACTTTGAAAAGTTCCCCAGATTACACGTTCGTCCACTCATGTTGGCTGTTCACCCACAACCATCACGAATCGTAATGACTCTCCCATTTCCCCCAACCGCGGCTCCGGAACTGCGGCATTGGCCAATTGAGCATCTTGGCGTTATCTTGGCTCCATCTGCCGCTGCGGGGATCCGCCGGCTGCTTCTGGAAGGCGACCAGGGATTCCTTTCTTAGCGGTCGGGTCCGGCACCACGGGATGAGGGAGGCGTTCGGGAAAGCTCGATAAGTTTGCCGTACTTCCGCGGTCTCCTATTCCCGAGCGATAAGACTAGCTGTGATTAATTGACCTAGAACGCGGCCATGACGCGGTTTAAGCTCGGAAACATCTGCCCTTGGTCTACCTGAGCTCTGTTGGTTCCTGGAATGGCGGGGTCATCCTCTCAGGTGTCAATCCGTCAAGCTGTCACGCAAAATAGAGTTGTCGCCATTGGGCGCTCATGAACAATAGTGAGCGCTGCATGCTTACCCGTCGTTAGATGCTGACATCAGTCTTCGTGACCTGACTAGGGGCACTGAGTCTCCAAGCAGCAGGTTAAGCTTATCCTCTCTCGAGACCAGCCGTCTTGTCTGCAATCAGCTTACCTGTCCTCGAGAAAAGCCAAGTGTAACAAAGTGCCTTTGAGTGGAAAAGCCCCTTGCTGCCAACTTACCTTAGCCATTGATGTTTGTTCTAGTTGATATCGCGAATAGTAGATAACCATTAGTCGGGATGTCCTCACTTGCATCGTTTGCGCAATTGGCTGTGTGCATAGGAACTGCAACAGATTGACTCAAGGCCTCAGAGTTGATACACCAACTTCTCGCCGGAGATTACCCCATCCCGATACACTTGGAATCCTTTGTCTACACCATCAAGACCCCCAGAGATGGCCTTCGGCTTGTTGGGCTTCAACTTCCCGGCCTCTACCCATCCCGGGAGCTTTTCATAAAACTCGGTGCCGAGTTTGTGGTCCTCCTCGCTAGCCTAAGCCCCAGTCAGTGACCACTCTACCAGGAGTCCTGCAACGACTGTAACTTACCGGCCATCTAAACTGAGCATACTGATGATCCTTTAAGAACGCAGTCCAGACCAAGACGTCGGTCACAGTCGTCTGCTTCGAAACATTTTCAGTGTTGGCCTTCCCCGGGCGCACGGTGCAGAGCCGCCCGCCGCTCTCATCGATGGCTTGGGATGCCTGGCCGGAGGAGGACGTGTTGCCGATGGTGTCAAAGACATATTTGAGGCCAGGCGTCGTGTTTCTGATGGACTCAATGACGTCGCCATCGCGGTAGCTGAAGACATGCTTCGCGCCTAGGGACCTGACCCAATCGAAGTGATGAGGGCTGCACGTCGTGATTACTTTGAGGCCTTGCATCGCTGCTATCTGGATGGCGTACAAGCCGACGCTCGCTGGGAAGGGAATTAGCAAGGGACCGCACGTGTTCAGCGCGTGTCGTGGAGCAGCTTACAGCTACCACCCCAAATAAGGACCGCTGTCTCCGATCCGCTCTCTCGAGGAATAGCGAGGCATGCTTTGGAGAACAGGGCTAGCTCAGCCGTCATGGAAGCTAGGGGTATTGTAGCAGCCTCCTGCAGGCTTATGTTCTTGGGGACTCGGAAGCTGATGTTGTCGTCCGCGAGGGTGTACTCGCTATAGCCGCCAAGACCCTTGATTTCACCTGGCGATGTGTCAGAACTTGTTCGTAGATCTCGGCTAACCAAGGATTCCTGACCTCCCCAAATTAGGCCAGCAACAGTGTCGCCCTTGGACAGCTTGCTACACTTGTCGCCAACCGCTTCGACTGTCCCCACAAAGTCGCACCCAAGGACGGCGCCGTCACCGAATGCATTGCCGTCAAGAGATTGAACTGTGAACCAAAGTTAGGAAACGATAGTGCGTTTATCTCTTGATCGAGACTACCAACGGGTCTAACCTACCGTCGGTCGGGTTTTGTGCAATATGTGACACTTTAACGAGAGCTTGATGCGGGGCCGGTTCAGGGATCAGAACTTGCTTCCTGACCATCTTCGGCGACCCGCCGCCGCCGGCCGAAGATTCGGTCACCAGAGCTTGCATTTGTTGTCCGGCCATGTTCACTGGTATCAGAAGATATGCCCACGATGTCCCAAAGTCATGAGTCTTTCTGCGAGGATCGAATATTGACTTGAAGCACGTCAGCCTCAGCAGGCACGAATTATTGAGGCAATAGTAGTCGTCTTTTCCCTTTGCTTAATCAGCCTCCAAGCGCCGTGGAAGTTGGAGCTTGGCCCCTAAGGAAACTAAATTCCCCCTCAAAACAGTGCACTAATATTAATAATAGGGGCCCCTTCATGACGTAGCGGTGATGGGGAATATCGTCAAAGAAATACCCCCGTCTTATTACAAAAGTTGAAGGCGATGATGCTGACATGAATTGGCCAAGCACATACCACAACAAAGGAGGTATCCCGCATCTTCAATAAGAGTGTATGCATCCTACATGAGTGCGGATAAGGTCCAGCTTCATTCATGTCTGTTGAAGTTTCCGATTTATTAGCATCAATAATCTAATGCAAGAACCTTCTCTCTCCAGCACTTTCCCACCGGCGCAACCCCGCTACATTGCTCCCACATCCCTCACAGGCTGTAGACAACGGATCGCAATCCGATAGTCCATCTTGAGGCGTTGAGAGGCTCCAGTCAAAGTCTCGTGGCACTAGTCTCCTCAAGAAAGGAAACCATCCTACCCAAGACCGGGCCAGCTCTCCCGCCTCCTCAACAGCTGAAACCACATATCAGGCCTCACAACTTCAAAGTCATCCCCCAACTTCTTAACCATACTAGCAACACTGGTCGGTGTCATATCAAAAGCGCTCACAGCGCCAGCCACAAAAAGAGGCCCACGACCCCTCCAATTCTCCGAAAGATTCCGCAGCGTCGCCGCACCGCTCTCCTCGTTCCCAATACTCACCATGTTTGTCACCGGGAAGCCTTCTGTAACATTCACCTGCAGCGCATCTACCGTCGAAACAAATGACCCGTAGTAGATGCCCCGCAAATTGTTCCTGCCCACGGCATTGCGAAAGTCGAGAGTTAGCCCAGGTGTGAGCGGGTTATCAGTGGCGTTGATGCGGTCGTACACGAACAAGACCTCGTCTGTCTGTGTCGCTCGCATATACTCGCCACTCTGAGTCAAGAATGTGGAGAGAGCTCGTCTTGGCCAGACACCCGGATACGTATATCCTGCGCCGTCGGGCCCGGCAATCAGCAGGTCATTCTCCGTGGATGTCCTTTGATAATACGACAAGATGCCCGGGCCGATATCACGAAGCAGTGGGCTAATAGTCCAGCCAAGCGGGACTGATCCCCTCGCGGAGTCGTTCCAGTGCTGAAACATGCTCCGCTGGTCGTACTGTATGTTGTCGCCTTCGAGGTAGACGAGAGACAGAAAGACTTTAGGGGTCTTTTTCGGAGGGGGCGGAGGAGGTTGCCATGGTGGTCCCCCCATCGTAGACTGCCGAGATTGGCTTTTGGTGTTGAATCCACTGAAGATGGTGGGGTTGAAGTAGAAGTCCGTGGCGGCGACGTATAAACCGTTCCTTGCGAGTTGCGTGACACCGGTCATCTCATCGCCGTTTGGAAACCAGCCGAGGTAGGCCGCATTGGGCTGGAATTGGCGAAGGAGTTTGTCGAGCAGCGCGGCTTCACGCGGTCTATTACTGTCCAACCACATGCAGGGAGCCGCCGTGCTGACGATGTAGTCGCGGAAGATGGAGTTGACCTTGTAGTAGCCCGGTCGCGCCGACGTTGCCGAAACGAGAAACTGATTCCACATGGACAGAGTGAGGGTTAGTTGAGTTGTCTGAGGTGGAACGTCAAATTTGTAAATCATTGCGGATGCGCCGTCTGCGAAGCGCCAGCCTCCTGGGTAGTCTGCCAGGTGCGAGCCGCCGTCATCGAACAGGAAGGAGTCTTCTTCTTCTTCACCGGGAGTGAAGTCTGCTATGGTTTTGTTTCCGTCGCCAGTCACCTTGACGCGGTAGACAGAGGGACCATAGCCGTCTGCAGGGAAAGCGTCTGTAATATTGACATAGACCGTCCCGTTGCCATTAACAAAGGACGACAAATCTGCAGTGTATGTGCCGTTGTTCGAAGAGTCTGTGACGGACGAGTTCGCCTTTAAAAGTGTGGTCCAGGTCCTGTTGGCATACAATATGGTCGAAAGTGGCTTGATAGCCGTGATGATGCGGTCAGTAACCTTGGGCCACACCTCCCGGGCTGCATGATCGTAAAGCTCGAATTTGTTCCTGAACCGGCCTCGCAAGTCTTCCGTGATGGAGATGTTGAAGCGTCGGGCCAGTTCTTCAGTCGCCAGGACAGCGCCATGAAGACCAGCAAGTGTTGAAGCCAGATTAATCGTGTCTGGCAATTTCGTGTCGTAGATAATGGCACCTCGAATCTCAGACTTGTACTTATCAATTAGTTGTAGAGGACTGCTCGTCGTATCGGCGCTACGATGTCCTTCAGTCTCAAGGTGCCGCAGCCAGGCCTCGTTGACCTCGTCATCCGGAAAGGCAGAATCCTGCGACCAATAAAGGTACAGTCGTGGTTGCCGTCTGTTGACCAGTCCTTGGAGCGAGACCAAGAGAATCTGCTCATCACCAGAAAGTGCAGTGAGCTTGGCATAGTCTATCTCCTTCGCAATCTCTGGAAACAATGGCAGGGCTCTATTACCTGGCCAATCAAGACCTGAGACGGAAGGTGAACAGAAACAAAGCGGACTTAATAGGGCGATCGGCAGCAGAAATAGATGGCGCATCTTGACTTGTGCTGTTGATAGCGCCCTGCTGCCTGCCATTTTCCAGTCAACAAAGAGGTACTGTTTCCTCCCACCGAAAGTCTTTCTATTTCATTTAAAGAACAATCCGACCATTAGCCTCGCCTAAATGAGACAGCCAGGCGAATGAGGCGAGCGAAGCGGGGGTTGGAGATTGGACGAAGGTCTGCAACATGATTCTAAGCTTAACTTTGTTTCCATGACTAGCTTGTTTCCTTGGCAGAACACCGGAAGATTGTCGAGAAGCTCACTTCACTCGCGGTTTAGCCTTACATGACCTAATGATCCAAGCTATTCCAGTTAATACAGCAATATCTATGCACTGGCATTCTAGCACCGTGCTAGGTCCGATTGGAGATGAGCGCCACCACTTGAAGGCACACGAGAATGACGCTCCTCAGCCGATCATCTGAACTCTTGTCACTTTCCACATCTCGTCCTTCTCAATAGAAATGCATTAGTTGCTACTATTATCTATACTAGTGAGGGTATGAGCCATTCATAGACTAGAAGAAACCTTTTCTGATTCCATGTGCTCTTGACATCCGAGCTTCACACTGTTGCCATTCTCAACGGCACAGCCAAACATGCCGGACGACACATGAGTCTGTGGAAAGATGGTTCAGCAGCCAAAGTCTTTCAGCTTGCCATACCCCAGCGGGGAGCGTTGACGATGACGCCTGCGAGACATCCAGAGATGATACCAGCAGTAGGCAGCGTGATAATCCAACCCATGTAGATCCAGCCAACCATACGCCAGTTGATTGATCGCCAAGTGCCGGAGCAAAGGCCGACACCTACGGTCGCACCAGTGATGCACTGTGTAGTAGATACAGGAAGTTCTGTATCACAGTCAGCGATGCTTGAGCATGGTCAAGATGAGTTCGTCGACTTACTGAGACGTGTAGCCAAGATAATTGTGCAAGCAGCACCCAACTCCATGGAGAAACCACGGGCGGGAGAGTGAAGGGTCAAGCGGTTGCCGAGGTTGCGCATAATGTTGTATCCGTACGTCCAGATACCAAGAGCGATACCGGCACCGCCGAAGCAGAGAATCCAGATTGGAACCTCAGATTTGCTGCCAGAGAGAACGCCAGTGTTCCAAATTTGAAAGATGGTAGCGTAGGGTCCAATGGCATTGGCAACGTCGTTGGCGCCGTGCGTGAACGAGGCGGTGCATGCAGTCATGACTTGCATGAACGAGTACAGGAATTCAGCCTTGTTGTCGTAGTGTTGGACACGGGCGTGCATCTCCTCCAAATCGCCAGTGAGCACACTCTCCTTCTTTTGCATGTTGATAATGTCCTGATCGACACCAGACAGGAAGACTTTCTTTACCATCCAGAAAAGAACGTCGCCGTTGTGCCAGGGACCTTCGGGACGGGGGCCAACGATGGGCTTGTGGACGTAGTCCTTACGGGGAATATTGGTCGCAGGGGAGTCGGTGGATCCTTGGACGACCTTCTTCTCGCCATCAGCAGAGCCAGTCTCGATGTCGTTGCTAGGGCTTCGAACAACACCACCGCTGCGAGCAACCTCTAGCTCCTCTTTGGTCATGTGCCCGGCATAGAAGTCGCGGATTCCACCGCCGTAGCCTTCGGGCTGAACAGGTGGCTCGGGACGGCGGAGCAGAAGCGGGCCCAGGGCAATGTGATACCAACGCAGTTGCCAATCGTCCTTGACTACCACACGATAGAGCCAGGGGAGAAAGAATATTGTGATGAGGAGAGCCCAGGCGGCACCAACACCGATGATCATTCCGGCAGTTTCGGCATCGTTGAAAGTAACTTTGATAGACCCACCCTTCCAAACAATCAGCATGGTCAAGAGGGAAGCGGTAATACCAAAGTACACAGGAACGAGAGCCAGTCCCTTCATGACTGGGTTCTTCCGCAACATGACGCCGTATTTGGTAATGGTGAAGATGATGGCTGCGAATGCACCCGAGATACCAGGAGCGATGATCCATGCAAGGAAGACTGAAACTACGCCAGAGTCGATGCCGCCGCTAGGGGAGACCCAATGAATGTTGTCGGCACCAATAAGTGCAATACCCATGCCAATGACGCCTCCCATGATGGAGTGAGTAGTTGATACCGGGAGACCGATCTTGGTGCAAAAGGTAAGGTAAATCGAGGAAGCCACAATCGCACAGGTCATTCCAAGCATGAGGAGAGCCGGGTCGTTCTCGAATAGGTCGATATCCACTGCGTCAGATGATCAGCCTGGGCGTCATTGATAATCAAAAGAACAGATATCCTACCAATCTTCGTTCGAATGGTGTCTGCGACACGGGCGCCGACGCCAACCGAGCCGGCGAACTCGAGGATGGATCCGAGGGTCATAGCTTGAATGTAAGAAATAGATCGTGACGAGACCGAGGTTGCCCATGAATTGGCAACATCATTGGCACCTATCAGCACCCAAGAGTCAGCTTGGACATGGCTAGACAAACAAATTTCTAATTTTGGAGTTACGTACCAATGTTCCACGCATCAAGGAATGCGAAGATGGTGCCAATGGCGAAAATGTAGTCATACTGATGAAGAGGCATCTCGACTTTCTTTTGCACAGGTTGTGCAACCCCTGATGTCCGGGAAAGATGAAGATGATCGATATGATGATTCCAACTGAAGACTAGGTCAACGTGCCTCAAAGGATGGTAAGGTATGAATGGATGGAATACCCTGGCTTTGACGCGGGTAGCAAGGTCGGAGAGAGAAGGATGTCCGAGCAGTGTAGGAGCAGGAAGGTAGACTTTGGGATCGACTCTGGCATATATACCAGATAGCGGAATAGCCAAGACGTTGCTTCTGCGCAATCCATCCATGTTCACCTGCTAGGATGTACATGTGCCCCCTTCCCGCCGGGGGACTCTCGGTGTGTGATGCCCGGACCTAGACGAGGAAGTGGCTACACGCCATCAGCAGAGGCAACACAGGTGAGGCACATTCGATTGTTAGAGACGTACCGACCCAACCCACCCAATAGTACTCGCCACACCCGCAATCTGCAATGTTACCGGCATGGTTCATCTGTGGATTGGTCCCCGTAGCATGTAGCCATGCTGTCTTGCTTGGTTGCAGAGTTCGCTGCAGCCAATTCTATGTCAGAGGTCCCATTTCCACAGAGAAGAGAAGCATTTGGTGTGTGTGAATCTGACGAAATCTATAGTTGCCACTCATCATTATCAGAATGACATTCGGTGCAAAGAAGACTTTCATCGGCGGGATTTCGAAGGTTTCTGAATTATTGCGGCTCGAACGCCTTTCTGCACAGGTTTCCGCAGGCCCCTTCGGCACAAAAAGCCACGTTGAACACCCCAATGAGGGGGAGAAAGTAGATGCCAAGTTCAACCTACTGGAGAGGCTGGCTGACATGAACCTGCATGGGGCGGGATGGATGGGTATCGAAAGGCAGAATAAGGAAGTCTAGAAGTAGCAAGGCATGTTCTGAGGCGTCCCACGTGTCGTAAACAACGTCGCATATTTGGCGGAACTTGAGCTTTTGGGAGGATATCGGCCTCGCGGGGATACTTCTCGAGGCGATGGAGTGGGAGCGTGAAGAGGGAATCCACAAATCCATCCAAGAAAATCCTGCGTGGTCAAGGGCAGCCAACGGAATCGGTAACAGTCGGGCATTGGCTTTCTCTCGCCGAGCCCCCAGTGAAGATGGCGCCTGAAACTTGAAGAAGGGCAAAGTCGAATGTTGGACGTTGAAGCTGCCGCTATACAAACGGACGATGTCAGGTCGTCAAGGGGGGAAGGAGATACATCCTCGCCGCATCCTTCCTAAAGCATCGACCGAGATCCAGTTGTGTGGCGCACCCGAAGCGACTTGGCGCGGTCAAGCGCCAAGATACAGGCTCTCAGGAAGCGCCAAGCGCCAAGCGCTGCTGGCAGGAGCATGGCGGCCCCACTTCCAGCTTCGCAACTGCCGAATCACCAGTCCCGAATCCACCACGTGCTGGGTCCCGTACTTTTCTGTGGATTTTCCCCGGCTGCATCCCCAGAGCTTCTCATCTTCAACATCGCAACTGAGTCGCCAGCACCATCAGACCTGTTCTTCTTTGACAGCGTATTTTTTCTATAAATCCTGTGCCCGCCGCCAAGCAGCCAAGGGGCCAAGAACACCAACACCTTTGGAACGGCTTCGCCAGTCAACCGTATCCCATCAAATGTCAGCGCCCAACTTCGCCCACGCCCCGTATCGGCCCCTTGGCCAAATAGACACGATCAACTGACTGCCATAACTGGCTCTTCTCAAGAGCTCCTCCACTCTAATGTTTCCTGATGCCGCTCAATCTCCGGCCTTCCCTCACTTGCGCTCTTCCGCCAGCAGCAATCTCCCAATCCACTTCCTCAGGTCTAACGCTGGGATCCCAACCGACTGGCTAGACAGTGTTTTACGAGCCATACGTGCCTTAAAATGTGGCTTTTGCGAATAAGTCCGGCAGCCTGGTGTTGGCTGTCACACGCTATCCCCTGGCCAAGAAACCTAAGAATGACCCAAAGTGAGTGATCACCTTTCCATCAACGAATCACACTTGCGGCCCGAGGCTCGTGGTCTCTCCTCCACAGCCTGTAGTCTTTAGCTGTGCTTGTTGGTCGGCAAGCCCTGTGTAGTTATGTAGATCATTTAAGTGTTACCAACATCGCCTCATGCCGGTAGCTGGCTGCCGTTACGTTTTTTGAAACCTCATACTCTAGTGCAGGTTTTGGATTATATCTGTACAATTCGCAGCTGTATTCTCATTTGTATTGTGGGTGAGAAAATCAGCATCTTCAGTTTTACTCTAGAATAATAGGTATTTGACGCGCACACTTTGTGAAGTATCGTAAAACTTCCCTTTGATCGTTGTTAAGTTAAAGTCTACCAACAAGACTTACGCGAGAAGTCTCTTCAGGCTGTCCTTCAGCGCGCGCTCGCCTTCATCCCATCCGGACTCAACTTGGTCCTCGAAGTTGGAACCGTAGTTATTATCTCCATCCAGCAGCGCCACGGTGGAAAGGGCGGCATATGCCCTGGAGTTGAGTCTGTCCTCGACTCCCTTTTCTGTATCCTCCCGCCACAAAGCACGAGCCTCGTCTGCAAACCCGTCAAATGGCACGTCAACAGTTTCCCAACCCTCGAGACCAAGATCTTCAACCAGTGCAATCAGATGATTTGTCGATACAGTGTGGCTGGCAAAATAGGCAGCCTTGTTCTGGTATCTCTCAGGGTTAGACAACACAGCGACTAAGGCCTCGCCATTGAGTGCCCGACGACTGATGCTGCATTTCTGGTGTCCGGAACCATAGCGAGTGATGGTTCGTCGTTCTTTGTTGATCCAGAAGATTCCACGCTCGATTGTCCAGTCGTACCATGGACCAGTTATAATGGCCGTCCATGACAACGACCCGTTTGACTCGGCGACGACACATTCAAGTTCACGCTGAGCTGCCAACTTCGGACCGAAAATAAGAGCATCTTTGGCGTTGGGATGGAACGTATTGCCACTAAAGTCTGGGGTGATGATGTGCCTGACTCCGGTGGCCGAGGCTGCTTGCAGGATGTTGGTCTGATAGGATGCGGCTGCTGGATTGAAAGCCTCGACAACGGCGTCTTGACCTCCCAGAGCCTGTGTGAGAGCTTCGACATTCGAGTAGTCGGAGGATCTTACGTGCACGCCGGCGGGAAGGCTCTTTTGGCTGCCGGGTCGAGTGATGCATGTCACCTCGAAATCAGCTTGCAGGAGTGCTGGGATTAAAACCTCTCCCAATGCGCCGGTTGCCTTTCAAATTGGTCAGAAATTATGAGTAAAACTGATGGTAATGATATCAGCGACTTACACCAATGACGGCAACTTGCTTGATGGCTTTCATCATGTTGGCAAGATGCAATTCAAAGTAGATAGGAGAAGAACAGATTTATCCTTAAAATTGTTGATTATGGCCACGTTTTGATCTAAGGCTTCCCATCGTTGTATTTATAACAGCTCAACATCAGTGATGTTCACATCGGTCGCCGTGATAACTCCATTGAATAGCGCAGTCCTTGGGGTATAACGTTATGGGTTCCTGGGACAGGGATGAGCTCATTGGGCCAGCCAAATCACACCATAGTTGGCGAGTAAGACTTGACGAACAATAGCATAACGTTATCACCTGTCTTGCATGCCATTCCACACCCTGGGACATCCCCCCTCGACTTCGTTGTGATTCTCACGAGTGCTCCAACTTCGCCTTTTCCTTCCCAGAAACGCTTGACAGCTTTTCGGTACTAACCAATCCATTTCGCTCTATGCGGGTAACTTCTTCCTTCTTATAAGTCCACATCGGCAACGCGGCCGCTGGCGGGAAGACGGACGAGCGGGGAGGTCAAGTTCATGGACCAGAAGAAACAGGGTAGCGCTAAGCACTTCCTCTACCCCAGTGATCTACACGGCACTCCTTCTTGTACGCAACTGGCGTGGGGTACCCAGAGGTTGGAGGGCTTAAACCTTCTTGTTTTGGTCTTGCAATCCGGGGATGCTGCAGCAGAATGATCGTGCGTCGATGGGGCTGGCATGCAGCCATGGGATGCCGCTCAAGCGTGGTGACGTCCCGGCGTTGGAGGATCCACGCTGAAAAGTAGGTACCGAGACCAGTTGGCCCACAGCGGTACAACCATGATTGGGTTCGCTTGATGTTGGCCAAAAATCATTGGCTGGCCTTTATCATGTTTGATGTTGGTGCTGAGATTCTGAACAAGATGAGAGTACGCGCGCCAATCACGGTCACATTTCTGGAACGCGACATCTGCGGTATCCAGGTCTTGGGCCTGGAACTACTTTACAACAGATTCGTAAAGACTGGTAATGAATACCCATCATTCAGGAGAAACAATGATCAGATGTGGTAAGCATTACGGTGTTAATAATGGAATCGCTGAAACAGACTACTTTATTCCAGAGAGGCATCCATTGTTGCCCTTTAGTACGCACACCACCTGGTTGAATTACATGTAAAGGAGTCCCATGAGCATCAACGCAAGCTTCTTGACCAGAAGATGCCTCTACAGCTCTGAACTTCTGAAGCTGACAGGCTTTCAGAATTTGAGCTCGCTTTGTGTCTTCAGATCTCGGTTGTAGAAGTGTCGGATGACGAGTACCGTCACTGCGGCAGCTGCTCCGAATCCAGCTGTAATGTAGTTGCCAGTCACGATGAAAGGCTGAAGGTTGGCAGGGAAAGTGAAGATGGGCACCCACGCCGTGAAAATGTAGGCGAACGCGTTCATCTGATAGTGACATTTGACGTCAGCTCGGATTTACATGCAAGTAATAGATACAAGTTGAAAATAGTAAGACAAACCATTGCAGACACATATGCCCGCTTTTCGGGGTCGTGCCGGTTTGTCTCGTTCACCCATGTCCATGTGATACCGGCGCATGTGCTTGAAAGTGCGGTGAGGTCTTTTGAAGGGAACAAGTAAGCAAATTGTGGTAAGTTGTGCGGCGAACTAGATTGAGAGGCTTACAATACAATGCCCATCGAGTCGCAATGTTCGCTGGATGCACGGGTGTAGCTGCCAGTGCAATGGGAAAGATGATCGCCATGACGCTGGCGAACAACATACCGGGCCATCGAGCTGCTCCAGGCAAGCTGTCCGAAACCCATGAGTTGACAAGAGTGGCGAAAATGGAAATAATATTGATCTATTAGGAGTGTGAGCTCCGATGTGGTTGAGTAATACTTCAGGTGCTGAAGACTCACTCCAAGTGGGATGATGTTGATCTCTGCTACGGAAAATCTTGGCGGCTTTCCAGTCACGTTGTAGCTCTTGACCCAGAAGATCACTAGATTACATAACGACAGTAAGTGACTGCTCTCTGACGAGCAACATTATTCATGTGTCAACTTACTTGATCCTCCGGACTGGCCTAGTTGAGCAAGGAACGTAAAGAATAGCGGGACTTCATGTGTCAGCTCTCACTAAACGTTTTCGCTGGCGGCATGGATCTCTTACAGAGGTAGACGTGCCACGTCGTGTGCCATCGCTTGATATCCTTCCACTTGAACAATCCAGTGTAAGGTTTGACTTCGGTAGGCATTCTAGCGCGGGCGAGCTCGACTTCCTTCTCGGTGAAGATCCTAAGAGAATAAATCATCATATTAGTGCTGCAACGGTGTTGCCCTTCTACGGGAATGATTCATATCGTGCATACCAGTTCGCTTTAGCCCGAGAAGGAAGCTGTGGCATGGCAAATGCCGTCCATATCGCACAAGGTAGGGATATGCACCCGCAAACACTGACCTTTCTGTCAGCATGATTTCCCCATTGACTGGGCTATAAGAAGGGATTTCTTTTCACTTACATATACATCCATCGCCAGCCTGTGAGACCACTCTTTCCGTCTAAGCCAGCGTAGACAGCGGCCATCAGGAAGCCGGAGAAAAGTGGTCCGACAGAAGTGAATACTTGAATCAGTGTGTTGCGCCGCGCCAGTTCGTGCGGCTTGTAGTAACTAGAACATACATACATGACGGCTGGAAAGTGCCCTGCTTCAAACAGACCAACGCTGAAGCGGGGTTAGTGATTTATTGACAGATGCGAATGGCGATGGCCTGGCAATGATGCAACTTACAAGAAGCGGAACACGTAAAGTTGATTGACATCTTTGACCCCGGCAGTCGCGAATGTGAAGACTGTCCAGGCAAACTCGAGAAATGCAATGTAAAGAGGAGCATTGACCTGCGATGTTATCAACATATGTGTAATCTTCTTCGAAAGTGGAGTGGTCAAAACTCACTCGGGTGAGAAGTAGGTTCGACGGTATCTGTCCGAACACGTATGCTGCACTCCAAATAGCGTTGGCGTAGTTGAGTTCTTTCCCGAACAACGAAAGATCCTCTTTCATTCCACTGTCTAGAGCGATATTTAGAAAAGCCCAGGAATAAGACTAGGTTCAAACACTAACTGAAAGCATTCGTGATGTTGACTTGATCAAGATAGCGACACATAACGCCGAGAGCTGATGCTGATATGAGTGTCAAATCGAGCTTGGTCAGAAACCGTGCTTCATCTTTGGGAACATCTAGTGCTAGAATGGGTAATTGAAGTCAGCAACTTGATTCTCTATCACTTCTTTCTGACTTGGTAATTCAAGCGACTTACTCGACCAGAAGAATGATCTCCACGTCCTCTTGGAGTCCACGTAGACTGACCTCTCGGTATCTACATGATAAGGGACTTTGACTCCATCATGAGCTTCGTTTTCGCTTTCGCCGATGACGAAGGCATCTTTGGGACTCTTTTCGTCAGGAAGCGACATTGTATGCAGACGAGAGATGGAACGTGAGACTAAATGTGCCGTAAGGCATGTACCTGCACTCTCTACTTTTTCGCATCGGAAATCTGTGAGCTTATCTACAAGCCCAGTGTCTGTGACTCCTTGTTCAGATCCTGTGGCTCGGAAGTCGGGTTGATTGTCGTCTTCGGCGGGTCCCATGGCGACATCGACAGTCAAGTCAGAGTGCGTCTACTAGTCATGATATGTAACGCCACAGAACCTCCGTTTACCTCCCAGTTATCGGAAGACCAATGAGTAGCCAAGGTTCCGGTGCACCATTTCGATAAGGCAAACGCCTCTTTAGGAGCCACCGATGTCGGAAACATGGGTTGGATTGTTTCTTTTGCTAGGGTACCTACAATCAGTGTGCAAGTGCAAGTCCGTAAACACCAATGATATCGGCGAAAGGCAGGCATACAATGGCGTGCTTGATATTTCGGCAAAACTCCGCGTTTATTAATCGCGAAATGCTTGAACAAGTATTGAACGGGGCTTGAGAGGGCATTTCCCACGATATTACTCGAACGGAATAGGATCTTCTTGGCTTGAATCGTTCAAAATTTACACCATATCTTGTACGTGCAAAGGCTTGTATTCGTTCCTTACCTTATGTACTGCGAGGCAGTGAACATGGCGTCAATGCCCTTATTAACAAACGCCACAAGCCAACATAGACATTCGACCATGCGTGCTCTCAGTACTATGGGAGCTTGCTAACTGAGGTTATTCGAAATACGATTTGGTACTTTCCAAAGTCCCATTCCGATCACTATGACCGTTCCTCTTGATCGAAGCGATCAACTGTATGGGAATATTCTGTTAGTATTTTGAACTACAAACATGTCCATGAGACTTGTCCGTAGTTGAATACATAATGTGATTCCTGTGCTGAGTTGTATTCTCATACTATTTCATTCCAATGCTGCGTTATTGTGCTAAGTCAATAGACATTGAAACAATGACCACCGCCTCACACCGGTCCCTCCGTACTTCATCTGATCTTCTAACGATTCAGCATGCCATTAGCGAATCAGACTGGGCTCTTACCAGATCATTTGATACGATACCGAACACGAGCTCGTGGCGCTGTACGGTACAATGCTTGATGTTGGAAAGCTTAAGCTTTATGATTTCAACGCGGGGTTGACAAGGTGAACTTTACCCCCTCCCGATAGATTGAAAGTTGCAGTTGCTCCACGAGTGTCTGAGCATAGTCGCAGAAGCTCCGCGCCTTTAAAAAGCCACCCAGCGATGTTCGTTGGGGTTGCGTGCTTTTCATCTCGCTTGACCCGTCCAGTAGATTAGCCCCTTCCGCTTGTGCAGCTATTCACAACTTGTTCACATCCGCACGTAAACCATCATGAACAAAATGAGCCTATCACCGGCCTGGCAAACCTTAGGGGCAGGCTGTCTACTAGCTACTCTCTACTTTGTTTACTCCTTGTACAACGCCCGCAACCTTTTCAGGTCACTTCAGCGTCAAGGGTTGCCAATGCCCCCTCACGATCCGATCTGGGGCCATCTCAAACTAATCGGAAGGATCCTGAAAGATTTACCACCTGACATCATGCCGTCGGCAGCACTGGCCCATGAAATTCGCTTGCGTTATCCACATCTCGATCAGGCCTTCTATTTGGACCAGTGGCCCTTTTTTAAGCCCATGCTGGTCGTTCTGTCACCAGATGGGGCTCGTCAGGTGGCACAAGGTCAATCTCTCCCGAAAGAGCCGGGCCAGCGAGAGTTCCTGAAGCCGCTCACAGGTGGTTACGATCTGGATACTATGGAAGGAGACGAATGGAAATTCTGGCACAACGTCTTCAGCCCTGGCTTTCGAGTCGCGAATATCGCCGGACTGGTGCCCAGTTTGGTTGAGATAGCTGGGGTCTTCTGTGATCGTCTACGCCGATGTGTAAACAAGAACGAGTTGGTTTCTCTGAGTCCGATGGCTCTCGACCTTACCATGGACTTTTCAAGCAAGGCTATCATGGGCCATGATATGCATTGTCAGGCAGGCTACAACCTTTTTGCCGCCGCGATGGCTTCGCAGCTCAGCTGGCTGCATTATCGCGGCACTTCGCTACTAAGGGACATTAACTTCATCAGGCCCTTTGTACAATGCTACAATACTTGGCGGATGGATTCGTACATCAAGAAAGTACTAAAGGAGAACTCAGAAGCTGCCGAGAGCAGACAAACAAACTCGATCTCGATACTGGATGCCGCCAATGCACCACAAGACCAAGGCCACCTGCGAATACTTCCCGATGTTATTCGGTCACAGATTAAGTTTATGATGCTTGCAGGTTATGACACAACCGGGTCATCGATCGTTTTCATGACCAACCTCCTGTCGCAGCACCCAGAAGTACTGGCACGCGTTCGGGTTGAGCACGACAATGTCTTTGGCTCCGACTTGAAGGCAACAGCGGGCCTAATAGCCTCTCAGCCGAAGCTGCTTAATCAGCTCCCGTACACGACTGCCGTCATCAAAGAGTCCTTGCGCATTTACCCTCCCGGAGCAACTCAGAGACTGGGCAATCGAGATTTCAATGTCTTCATTCAGGCCTTCTCTGATACTTCAGAGACTGATACGAGGGAGAAACCTCTAGCAGCTCTGAGGTCACTTCCAACGGAAAGATGCAATGTCTATGTCAGCCACTACGCAATCCATCATAACCCACGGTACTGGTTTCGCTCAAGCGAGTTCCTCCCAGACCGTTGGTTGGTGAAGGAAAGAGATGACCCTCTGCAACCTCCTGCCAATGGTTGGCGTCCCTTCGAGAGAGGACCCAGGAGTTGCATAGGGCAAGAGATGGCTTTGGCTGAGATCAAGATGGTGTGTGCTCTGACTGCGAGAGAATTTGATTTCAAACCTGCGTATGAAGAGACCGGGCAAACAGAGAAGTATCATGGGGATCCTGTGTATTTGGTGAGTCGCGGGGGAGCAGCCAATCCGAGTCGCTTCTTTCCTTGTCGTGTGAGCTATGCGAAGAGAACATGAAGTCAGGTCTTGCAACGCGAGATGGCTCAATCGGACTTCCTGGTTAATTTCCTTCAATCAGGCGGATGGGGACGTCGTAGAAATTGCAAGATCGGTTCAGAGGTCAGATCCCACTATGTCAATTACAGAATTTGAATAGAAGGGCAACACTCATTGATATGGCGGTCGATTTCCAGGCTATCAGTGTGCGATGGAAAGAGCTTCTCATCGGTAGACTAATATTTCCCCAACTCCAAGCTCAGAGTAGCTAATCTACGTTCATCACTTGCTGTCAGCTTGGTATGCTCTAGCCTTGTTACTCTTCTCCCAAGGATTTTGCAGCCGCGTCTTCCTGACATCACCTCGCTGCCAAGAAACGAAGTCATGGTATCCAAAATGTTTGGGGTAGTCCAAAGGCTTGAGCCTGGCGGATGGCCCAAGGAATCTCCCGACGACGGTGTTATTGAGCGCCTTTCCAGCAGCTCCCTTGGCTGTCTCTGCCTTTTCCTTGAACCATTGTCCCCAGGTCTGCTTCTCTTCAGGCTGCTTAGCTTTGATCTCGGCCCTCTTCAATTCCTCATGCTTTTGGCGTAACACCAGCTTGTGATTGATATCGATGAAGAGACGTTCCCAAATTCCGATGCGCTCCTCGTGTAAAACTCGCGCACCCTCTTTTGCGTTATCCCGGGTCCAAATCCAGTGATTCTCGGCTTGTTCCAGAAGGCAGAGGTCAGCTTCGAACGGCACCTGATGGACAACAAGTGTGTGTCCCTTGTGGGATTCGAGGTCCATAGTATGGCCGCCGTGGACGGATGATACGGTGCCCGTGAGCGTTTCGTATGAGGATGCAATAGGAGTCTTGGGGTATGGGTCGACGATCTTAAGTGGCTCTGTACTCTTCTCGAGTCTAAACCCATTTTTCATCAAGGCTGCGCATTCCCACACGCCAACGTCATCGAGACCTTTGCCGTCGTAGAGATATCGGATGCGTACAGAGGGATGAATGAGCTGGTTAGGATTCACGAGCCTATTTTTCCCATCGTCGGTCTTGTATAAGCCCGGAGTACGTGTGCCCAAGACAGTGTTATCTCCCTTCAACTTTTGCCACGGGTACCAAATGGCGTTGTATGCTTCGTCAGGGATCGAAGTGGCCTTCCCGGGATTGGAAATTTTTCCCATTGCCCATGGTCGAGGTTCGACACCAGGGGCGAGGGTGTAGAAAAGCCGCTTCATCTCAGGCGTGCTGAACTCAACACCGACAGAGGTAAGCTGGTCCGCCATCCCTATTTTATGCTGTTAGCTGACATCCGCGATGGTATTTTTTCAGTCATTCGCAGACGGGAGTTCTTACAGGCAAGTGCAATAGTGGCGATTTGTTGGTCTTCGAAGCCTCCTCCGACGTTGCTGTGGCTGCCGGGAAACCATACCTGTCGAAGCTGCGTGTGTGTGTTATTGTCCTTGCCCCACAATGTCGGTTTGAATGCGGTCCGCCATTCGTCCAGTGCGAGAGCATGGAAGGCATAGTCCACTTTGGGATTGACGTCGAGGCTTGCAAATCGAAGCTGATTGTGTCAGTCGTGTTTTTCAGGAAAGGAATTGATCGAGTATTTTTGGCGACTAAAGAAAGCTTAAACTCACCTCCTCAGCGCTGCGGCCTATGCGGAGCTTCTCCCAGGGCATTTTTGGCCAACCTAGACTTCCAACAGTATCCCATACAGCTGAGTTAAGGACAATCAGACTGGGTTTCTCTTTCTTTGCGGGGTTTAGGATTTGAAGACTAACCAACTGCTCTAACATTGACGTCCGTAGGGACCGGGAAGAGGCCCAATTGGCCATCTCGGAATTGAGTCTCCCACTTGGTAAGAACCATGCCGTGCTGGTGAAAACAACGGTCAGTGAATTGATTCCCAGACCAAGGTGACAGCTTTCTTATTACCTTTTCAAGTCTGTTTCTGTATTCCTTAGCCATCTTGCGGAGATCCATTGGTCCATAGCCCTTCCTGTTTTCACGATATGTGGTCATTTTCTCGAAGAATTCTCTTTTATCCTCGTTCAACTCGTCTTCTAGAGCAGCACTCTCACGTTCCTCGACCTTGTCGCTCTCAGAAGCTTTTTGTTTCTTACGGCGCATGAAATTGGTAAGCGTAAAGCCTACCAAATGCTCGTCTTTGTCAAAGCTCCCCGGGTACTTCCAATTGGGGAAGGTCTGGTAGTCGTGGAAGATTGCCCCAAATTGTGATAGGCCGACGCGGTTCAGAAGCCCAAGATTGCAAATCAATCCGGAGACCGATCGCGCGGTAAAGGCTCCGCGGGAGAATCCGACAATGAAAATCTCATCTCCTGGGTTATAGTTATCGCACACGAAGCGGTAAACATCAGCGATGTCCTGAGCGACGGCATTGAAAGGTTAGCGATAGCCGTCACCCCACGACAGACATTGCAAAGGGAGACTGACCTGAACGATGCCCTTCCCAAAAACTCCACCAAGAGTCTGGGCAACTTTAGATTCCTCAGTCCCGGCTCCTCGGTGGTAGTAGACGACCTGCGGCATGCCCGTGCAGCACTTGCGGGCAATGGCAGACGACAGGCGGGCCACGTTAGTAGGAATGCCTCCCCTCTTGTTACTATGGAGTATCAGAATCAGCGACAGAAAAGCGGTGAGGTACTTGGGAGACCGACGAGTTGTTCCATGTTCCGTCACAGCAGACAATGATACGCTTGGTATTAGTGGTTTTTTCTGTCCTGTGGGCGCAGTCTGCAAAGTTGGACTGTGCTTGTGATTGTGATTCAGGCAGCTGGGTCTGGTAGATGAACGGCTGACCATCACTAGTAGCTGATGCCATGGTTAAGGGCAGAGTTTCTCTCCAGAGAAGTGAGTGAGATGATACGGACAGGCCAAGATGTTTAGTGGATGTTCCCCTGCCACTGGTTTATAAGTCGTCTGCCATCTCCCAAAATCTGATTTGCACAGCTTTTTGATTTGAAACAAGCTTCGGAAGTGTTTATGCCGCCGTCTAGGCTGTATTGGATATTCTACTGCACACGCCAGCAATGATCTACCATGGCTCTCCCTCTATCTCAGACAAATGGGGTTGGGATCTCCGGAATGGCATACCCCACCATCTGTTGGCCTTCGGCCTCCCTTGGAAATTCTCATACGATGGGAATTTTTCCGGGATTATCTGATATTTCATCGTCTCAATTACTTTCAAGGTAAGATTTATATTCAGGTAGCTGAGAGAATCCATTACCGCACGACTGAAATTCGCGAAATACGGCTACCTTGAAGGCTAGAAAACCATACACAACTTTTCGATAACAAGAAAGGCCAACTGTGTCAGGCTGGAGGCATACGGGCAGTCTTTCACATGCTAAAAACCCCATTCATAATCTCAAACAATACCTATGCGGGGATCTGAAATTTACACATTTTCGAAGTTAGTTCGAAGCGCGTCTGAATCATAGCAGCGAGCCTTGCCGTAAGCATTCGGATATGAGCACCGGTCTTTCGGCAACGGTAGTAACCAGCACTTGACACACTGATGATCCACCCCGCATTGGAGAGGTCCTTTGAAACTTGTGTCTGCTCTGGGAAATCAAAGACAACCTTGTTGAGGAACACTCCTCGCCCTAGCCTGAGTAGCTTGTTTTTGCTAATGACGTCAATATGAGACACTCGGAAATGATGTTCAGTGTGCCGGAAACGTGTTGAGATTACAACGATCACGATTGAGGGAGACAGGCATTCCAAGCATCCGTCACCTTAAACCCCAATTCTCCTTACAGATGTGCCGCAAAGCTAAGCTGAGGAATCCTCAAGACGGCCGAGCCGCGGACGGCACACCCACCACGCTTACTACCGTGTCGGGACGCAGCGGAGCGGCCCGCGCTCCGGGGCCGAGACTGCTGTGAGTGGTTGACGGCAACCGGCGGAGCGGATGTGGCCATTGTCCGTACCTTTACTATGAAAATGCCCGCACGGGTAAAGTGTACATGTCTTCAGAACTGCATAAAAGTGCTGATTTGCGCCAAAAATCACTCAAGGAGACAGGAATGAAGCAGATTCTACAATAATACCTAGTAGTCCTATATTCAATAGGTATTCCACAAGCCGCTGTAAGCCATTCGGGAGAACCTGGCTATATGCCTACATGTACCTTAGGTTAGTATTTGTGTCATAGTGTTGTCATTATAACTTGCGAAACACGTCACGATGAAATAAAATGCCCAAGCATCGCAGCCATAGTATTTTGACAGATATGTATATTCGACAGGCTTAATATGTGCAGAAGTGAATTTTCATAACCCATAAGCAGGCCCTTTGACCTTTTCATAATAACCTCCCCTTCAATTCCAACAAAGTCCTTCAATCCAGCATTTAGGAGGTACCGGAGCAGCCGACGAAGTTGTTGCCGCTGGCGCCAGTGTGGGTGATCTGGCCAGCCTGGCCGCAAGAAGCATTGATGACGACACGGTCGGCACCGGGGGAGCCTGGATGGAGAGTCAGTAAACTGAATTTCTGAAGGAGTGCAGTACCACTCGAGCGACGCTTGCACCACGCAAAGATGCATGTCGCACATGACGATTGGGGAATAACTCACCTCCGGTGTAGACGCCGCTGGTCTTGATAGGGAACTCGTACCACGGGCCGGTGACGTCAAAGTCGAAGCCCTCGTAGTTGTTGTAGCGGTGGGGGTAGGTGGAGCTGCCGGCGACGGTGCCGGCCTTGACGTGGGTGCAGGCGGCGTTGGAGGCGGCGTTGACCTGGGCGGTGGTGTAGGTGGTGCTGCCGCAGGTGGTGGAGCGCTTCTGGATCTCGGCGGGGGCGGCGGAGACGGCCAGGGCGAAGAGGGAGACAAGGACAACGGAGAACTGCATCTTGGCGGTTGTGGTTGGTGTTGTTGGGAAGGGGAAGGTTGTGGGCTGGGAGACGAAGACTGGATGACTGGGCCTGAGGAGCTTCTCTTCAGTCTGAATGATCGCGGGAACCCTCATCATCTTTATACACGGAAGTTGTCTGTAAACTAGAAGGCCAAACTGACTTTCCAATTATTGTGAGGACCCCGACTCCAGTGTGATGCTACAGTACGGCAAGCAACAGCCAAGCGAAAGCACAAAGTCCCAAGTCTCCCAGGGTAGCGGTGTCAGCGCGTCCACGACTCCGCTGTGTCCACTTGTCGATCCCCGGTCCTTAATGCGGAAGGTGTTTTTAGGGATCTTATCGCGCATGGCCAGGAACGCCGACGTGGTTGGCTGGAAAATAAAAGAGGCCATAACACATGGGAAACCTGTCCGGTCCGCCTTGGTTCAACTCAAGCCTTGAGAGGTTCCCACTCAGCTTCGTTAGTGTAACCGTAGTGTTCCTTCTGCTAAGACTTACGCGCTTGTTGACACGTCGAGAACTAACAAGTCAAGTTGTGCCCAGTGCTTTCATGGCACCCTTTGAGTGGTGTTGCGGACATGGATGTCGTGCGCTAGTCAGGCGCATCTACCGACGGCATTGCGACCCCAATCCCGGGCCAAGCACCAACTGTGTAATGTCATCAAGAAGACAAAAAGCGTTCCTAAGCCGGGTGAGGAAGTCTTTCCCGTGTCTCCCGTCCCACACGGCGTTGGAAATCCCCGCATTTGAGTCTTGAGTTGCGTCCTTCTCAGTCCCTGATTCCCTGTGGTTTCCCGCCTTTGCCTATTTCCCCCCCCTGGCGGCCAGCTCCGATCCACCATTCTCTTAACCAGCTGTCAAAATAGGCTTAACCTCGAAGTGGGTTTTGAAACGTTCGGGCTGTCCCTATCATTCTGCCACGGGGGTTTGTCTGCGCTCCGGTGGGCTGCAACCTGTCTGGGGGAGAGGCAAAAGCAAAGCCGCCTTTCAGCTTAAGCGCCTGCTGCGAAGCTTACAGGTTGCCTCGTTAGCTACCTTCTCCATGGGGTTACAGCTCAGCCGTGGCGCGTTCGTCCCATCGCCGGGAGATCAGCGTAGGTAATCATTCAGTGGGTGGAGAAGTCATCAATCTTCTCCCTCGCGATTCCAGTGTGGTTTCCCGTGACTGTACTTCCCGTTTGTACTCATCAAATACAGCAGCTCCGGGTGGGAGCTTGTAGTCTACTTTAGGTATTTAATAGAGCACAAGCCAGTAAATAATCCGGCCGCGAGCCAAATTGATTGCACCATATCAACAAAGTTAGAAGTTTCCTAGCTGTCGAAGCTCCATCTTCATTTCTCGCAACCGGTTTCCAAGCGAACTTGCTTAACCTTAATCAAGCTTCAGTGGGGGATATGTGCCCCTTGAAAACAGGGATCAAGTGCCGCTCACCCGATGCCGGACAATCTGATTCGAGGCATATCTCTCTGCCTGATTGTATGTAGTCTTTAGCTGTTGTCGGAGACGCCCGGACGTGCTTGCACCTTCTCCTTGGGTTCTTGGCTTTCCATGTTGTCAGGCTTGCATGTGATGCAGTGCGGCCACGGGTTGTTGTGCCCGCATCGGCGTTGATGCTCAATCAGGCAAGACATCTAAACGTCGGATGCTTCGCTTAAGAATTGGTTGCCAGCGAGTTGCGATATCACGAGTTTTTTCGTCGGCGTCGGCCGGTGTATACTATCTTTCAACATGTTATCGCGAAGGCATGGGTTCGACACGGACCAAGGACTATAGACGGAGCCGACAGTGTCGAGATAATAAGATTCATGAAAACCATGGATATCAGATAAGCCAAAGTCCAAAGACATCTGCCGCAAGTAGCAAAACAAGGGGTCAGTTCCATGGAAATGCCGTAGCATGTTCATATAGCAATGGTTCGAACGAAACACTGATCAATCGTTTGGAAATGAGGAGGAAAACTGCCGGCTAGCTTATCCTGCGTTTCGTAACAATAAAGGTGTTGCGACTGCATAACTACACTAAGCCGATTGAAAGGCCTTGCTCCAGTCCTGTGCTGAAAGCCATTCGTCGACTTTGACCGTTCCAATCCTATTTTCTAGACCTCCGGGTAATGTCAGGAGCTGTTTCCATTCTTCAACTTTCTCTCCAAAGAGACCATATTCTGCGAGCCAGACCCAGCTCTCAGGAGCCTCACGACCTAGCGGCGATTCGGCCGCCATCTCTTCGACATTTCTTTGCACAAAAACAAAGTCCCGACCCGTTTCCCTACGTAGAAACTCGACGCACTCTCCGAGCGACTTCATCTCGTCGTAAGCCGCCAGGATTGTACCCGCTGGCGCATCAAGAACCAGAGCCCTGACAAAATGTCCGGTGCTGGACGAAGCATCGATGAATGGTATAAGATTGTCGTCACTCACGGGCCCCTCGAACTCGACTTTTCCTGTCACTGGATTGAATTTGGGTCCGAAATACGAGTCGGGTAAAATATTGGAGTTGTAGAATCCAACCAAAATCTGTGAAGTCTTGGCCCAGAGTGTGGGATGTTCTTGTCGAATATATTGGAGAACGTTGGCTTTGCCGTCAAAGTGGTGAACGTGCTTCAGCTTTCCTTGACTGAGTTGGGAGACAGGTGGGAGACTGCTAAAGACGAAGCGCTCTAGAGTCGGTATTTCGGCTGCCGCTATTGCAATATTTCTGCCCCAAGTCTCCTCTAGATCCCGAGTAGCAATAGCGAGGTCAATTTCTTCGCTTTGGACCCTGTGTTTGACCTCTTCGGTCTTGATCGCACTCCAGAAGTCTGTCACTGCAAAGATCGCCGTTGCGTCTTCGAACGCTGACTTGAGCTCCGAGACGGAGCCGAGGGAGGCAGAGACCATTTCCGCTCTAAGCTTTGATAATTTGACCGCGGACTCAGAGGATGGATTTCGAGTTACACCTCGTACGTGCCAATAGTTCGACAAGGTTGTGTCGTTCAGAAATGCTCGAACTACAGAGCCACCCTGATTTCCGGTAGCGCCCAGGACGACCAAGATCTTCTTCTCGTGCGAACTCATGTTGGATTGCGGCGTGGCTTTTTGATTATGCAAGAAGGTCAGCGTGGTACAAGTATGTATTGGAAAGCACATGAGGGAAAATACCAATTCGTTAATCTTTATAGAAATCCGAAAGATTTGAGGCTAAGTCGTTTCTAAACGGAGTATTTCAGCCATGACTGATGGATAACGTTACCGCTGTATAAGGGGATTCGGGCAGATTTTGTCAGCTTGATTTGTTATGATCCTGCCGTGGCATGGTTCGCTGACTAGATTCCCAAGGTAAAGACATGAAGATAAAGATGGATGAACAGACAGACCGATTTTGGGCTAATTATCACGGAAATGTGGATCCTCGAGGAGGAATTGCGAGCCGACTCCGCTCCGCGATAACGCCGCCAAGATGCTCCACCAAGATTGTCCGGCTCCGGGGACTTGAACGGAAGGAAGGCGATTACCTCATCTTGCACCCTCCGCTCCTTCTTGGTTCGTAAGGTAATTACCTACCTTAGGTACTAAGGTAGGTAAGGTACTCCATGCATGGTGTGAGTAGTGGTACGTAGATTGAGGAGGGTCATTAATCCGTCCCGAGTCTATGTGAGACCGCGAAGGTGGTCTGTGCAGCAGCTCAAGACGGGACGTACCTTTGCAGTTTTGGTGTCAATTGGCCGCTCATTTAGCGTACGCAGCAGCAGGAGCTTTGGACGCGAATTCCAGGGCGTCCGGGCTCCGCAGAACGCGTTTTCTTGGGATTCAATCAACCCCAATTTGTGCCCACCTGTTTGGCTTGTCGCCGTTTTTTGCGTATTCAGCTTTAAGTTCCCCCAGCTTCACTATCACCAACCACATCGTGGCGCATCAATCGCAACGCCTTACTCATCGACGAGAAGTTCAGCAACACCCCGATCGACGTCGCATTCTCGTACAGACCCTCCTTCGCGACCGTGGACCTGGTCTAAATGACACTGGGAGCCATTCGCGATGCGCGTCATTAAGCCTACGTGGCTGAGCCATTCCGGCGAGCAGAAGGACTTCGAGGTGTACAGCTGTCACGTATCCTCCGATGGGAAACGACTTGCGACCGCTGGAGGCGATGGCCATGTCAGAGTGTGGTCAACCGAGGCCATCTATGGCGATGCGAATGGTGACGCAGAAGGCAAGCCGAGACAGCTCTGCCACATGAGCCATCACCTCGGCACCATCCACTCTGTTCGCTTCTCTCCAAATGGTCGATATCTCGCATCAGGTGCCGATGACAAGCTTATTTGCGTCTACCATCTTGACAAGAACCCTCCGGTCGCTTCTTTTGGTAATGCGCTCCTGCCGAAACCCAATGCGCTATGCCCTCGACGTGACGGATGCTAATGCAATATTACAGGACTTGGCGCCGAACCCCCACCGGTCGAGAATTGGAAGACGTACAAGCGACTCGTCGGACACGAGAACGATGTCCAGGACCTTGCCTGGTCCTACGATTCCTCCATACTGGTGTCGGTTGGCTTGGACTCCAAGATTGTGGTCTGGTCGGGCCACAGCTTCGAGAAGCTCAAGACCATAACCGTCCACTCAAGTCACGTAAAAGGCATCACGTTCGATCCTGCAAACAAGTTCTTTGCGACCGCCAGCGACGATCGAACAATTAAAATCTTCCGTTTTACGCCACCTGCACCGAATGCGACGCAACATGATATGGTTAACAACTTTGTGTTGGAGCAAACAATCAGCGGGCCCTTTAAGAGTTCACCGTTGACTACTTACTTTCGGCGATGCTCCTGGTCTCCTGATGGGAACCACATTGCCGCTCCAAACGCCGTCAATGGTCCTGTCAGCTCAGTCGCGATAATTGAACGAACACGATGGGACAGTGAGATCAACCTAATCGGCCACGAAGGGCCGACCGAGGTCTGCATGTTCTCGCCACGCCTGTTTCATACGGAGAATCCGGCGGAGCAACCAGACAACAATGCCTTGGTCACTGTTATAGCCTCAGCAGGCCAAGACAAGACCCTGAGTATCTGGAATACGAACACCTCACGACCTGTAGTCATTCTTCAGGATGTAGCCAGCAAATCCATTTCTGACT